AAATGTCCCTGTGGTCCATAAATTCTGCATTACCTGTAAAGCTTTGTTAGCCTCCCTCAACAGGTCTGAAATCACTGAAGTATGTAATGCCCTAAACTTTAATTTGTTTTTCTAACACATGGACATCACTTAGAGCTTGCTTGTTAGCTGCTATCTGTTTCATGGATTAAATTTCCCCTCTTGTTGATTAGGTTTGAAAGTTACAAAGATCAAAGAACATCCTTTCTTAAGAAATTTTTTTCATATTTCACATTTTGCAACAATTAGGCAGGACCTTGTTTCACCTGTAACTCTCTGAGAAAATTGTTAACTATTTCTGACTCTTGAGATCAGAAGAGTCAGCATCAGCAAGACTAATTGCTATTTGTTGCAAGTAAAGATTTTCAACAGACCAGTGGGTAACGTTAGTCCTCGGTTTCTCTCTTATGCCGTGCTGAGGGGACCCCAGCAGTCTGCCAGGCACACTTGACTGAGCACATCAGACTCTCTGTTAATGGTAGGCCACCTTTCCCTGCTGCCAGGCCCTGCACAGTCCAGCAGCTCCCCTGCCCTCAGGCTCTGAGGGGAAGCAGCCAACTGTGTGATCCTGCAGCACAGATGTCACAGGGAGCAGCTGCAGTGAGGAGCTGAGCTGGGAGCCACTATCTGTGGCTTTGAGCCTCATCTTTCTTCCAGCAGCTATTAGGAAAGGAGAGAGGGGAACAGATCCTTGTAAAAGGATCTTCAGCTCCTCCTCTCTAGGGCCTTTTAAACACCTCTCCTCTGCCCGGGCTGGGTCCCGCTTCCCACTGAATGGCAGCAGGAATCGGGGCAGGGGCTGGGACTGGGACAGAACCAGAGGAAGGGGCTCGGCAGCGCTCCCTCGCCCAGCGGGGCCCCGCCCGGGGCACACGGATGGGAAAATGCAGCAGGAGAGATGTTCGGAAGGGGCTGCGAGGGCACCTGGAGGCTGGACATTGCAGGGAAGACTGTGGCAGTTGACACATTGGAGTGTACATGGACTGCCTTGGGCTGGGAACCAGCTCCTTTTCAAACTGGGAACCTGTCAGAGGTGGGAACCCCCAGGATCCATACTGGAACCAATGTTGTTTAACGTTGTCTTCGTTAGCAATCTAGATGATGGGACCAAGTTTCCTCTGATGATGCCAAACTGAGTGGGGAAGTGGAGATTTGGAAGGGAGAACCACCCTGCAGGAACACCTGGATAGACGGGAAGAGTGAGTTTATGAATATGAAGTTCAGCGAAGACAAATGGGAGGTCTTGCACCTGGGAAAACATAATCCAGGAGTGCAGCACAGGGTGGGATCAGCCTGGCTGGAGAGCAGCTCTGTGGAAGGGGCCCTGGGGTGCAGGTGGACACTAAGCTCAGTGTGAGTGACCACAGCCGAGAGCCAGCAGGATGCTGGGCTGCATCAGCAAGGGCATCATCAACAGAGAGAAGTCATTGTCTCACTCTGTTCAGCACTTGTCAGGCCACACCTGGAATACTCTGCAGAGTTTTTGGTCCCCACTTCCCAAGAGGGAACTGGAGGGGCTGGAGGAGGTCCAGGGAAGTGCCACAAAGAGGATCCAAGGGCTGGGAAGCTGCTGTATGAGGAAAGGCTGCAACACCTGGGTTTGTTCAGTCTTGAGAGAAGAAGGCTTAGGGAATGAACGCAAGAGAAACAAGTGATGTGCAATACAATTGCTTACCACCCTCTGACCAATGCCCAACCCATCCCTGAGCAGTGATTGATGGCTCCCTGTCAGGTCCCCCCAGATCCTGTAATCAGGGTGTGACTGCTTCCATGAAGGATACCTGGGGTTTGCTGTTCACCTGAACTCTTCTGTTTCTCACAGTCCCCTTCCCAGCATCTGTCCTGCTGTATTCTACTGCTACCCCTGGGGCTGGCAGCCCAGCTCTTCTCAGGCATGGCCAGCCTACACAAAGGATGAAAGATAATGGAAGCAAACATTCATGGTTAATTTTTTATAAGAGGCCTAGAATCAGACTGGGCCAAAATACTTCTGTTGTCTTTTTGCAGTTGATAGTACTGGTGACAAACCAGTTTTAAAGAAATATCCATTAGTTGGGGGTATTGAGAAAGATCTGGGCATTGTTGAGCTACAGTCTTTTGAAAACGTCTTGGCACCAGCACGTTCTGTGGGCTCAGCTCATGCTCTGTGTGCTCAGCTATCTGGACTGTTCTCACCTCAAAGCTGGAAAATGATACTTTACATCAGTGGAAATGGTGTAATTTCCTTAAGTAAATCAGAGATTTTAGAGAGCCTTTTTCACTGAGGGCTGAATAACTGAACATGTAGAATAACCTGATTGTACCACAACAGGTAATGTGTCTTGCTAACCACTCAAGGAATTATCCTGGTCACAGAGGTGGAGTGGAGTTCAGTGCTGCGTGAGCGTGACCAGGTTGTTATTCTATACCCACCACGTCATCACTGTGAAGTGTGGTTTCAGCAGGAAAACCCAGGCACCCCACTGGAAGTTGGCCATTTTGCCTCCCTCTGGGAAGGTGTCAGCATCAACCCCTGCAGATACAGTTCCTCTGCCACCCCACCAATCCACCTTCCATTTTTCCCAGAACATTCCTATGGGACAGCAGTGAAGACGTCAATGGATCATAGTGCTGAACTGACCACCAGCAAGGAGGCTGCCAGTGTGGAACGCACTGGTGGTGGGGGCAACTCCCACCCAGTCAAGCCTGTTGAGCTGAGTGGAAAGGAGCCCTGCTGAACCCAGCTGAACTGAGCCAAAAGGACCACATCAGAGTGGTAGGAAAAAGGCAGCCTTGACCCGTGGGGTGACCCCAAAGCACAACGGAGCATCAGAAGCAGCGCCAGAGGCACCCACGCTGAGCCCAGTGGAGTGGCTGTGTGGCACTACTCAGACAACCTAGCTTTCAGGGGAGTTGTTTATCACTGATTTTTTGGCTGGGGGGTAGGAAGCATTAGCCACAGGAGCTTCCCCATCATCTTGCCATTGTTTTCAATGACCACAAGGGTGGCACGTGGGAAGAATCGCCATATTGTCTGGGTATAAGTGGATGTGACCTACAAGGAGCTGCCTGTTCACCAAGTTCACCCCCTTTCCAGTGGCAAACACCTTTTTGTGGGTAAAATATCTTCTCTTTTTTTATACTTTTGCTATTAATACCGCTGTCGTTATTGTGCATGTTGTATTCCATTGCTTTGTGCTTTTAGTAAACTGTTATCTCATCCCATAGTCCCTGCTTTTATCCTTCCCTTACTGAACAGGGTAGGGGAAGGGTGGTGGCTTATTTGGAGTCACAAAACAGTTTAAATTTTCCACTCTAATCTTTTCTTCAAGCTTTGTATAGGTACCAAGGTTAACTTTTTAATTCCACTTTAGCCTTATTATAAAAACACAAAACTGGAGAGTCCAAAGAAATGGAATTATCTGTTTACTGTGACAACTCTGTCCATCAAAGGTCAAGATTGGCACTAACCAAAAGCTTGTCTTTTGTGAAACCTTATGTAGTTTCTGTTTGCAAGGTGAATGAATAGTGAGGTAGGAAGAGATGAGGAGGTCAGGAACCACAAATCAGTTTGAATGGTGTGACTAAGTTTGAAAAAAGTGTGTAACTGTATATTAAGTAGTTCCATGCATGTCAACCTCCCTGTAGCCTGAAAAATCCCTGCGCTAGGTGTGAAAAATAGAAGGGGTGGAGGAGAACGGAATGAAGTAGGAGGAGAAGGAGGATTTCTTTGGGTTGAATCTTGGTCTTTTGGAGGTTTCTGTGGACAGAAAATGCCTGGTGACTTCTAGAAATGGACTTGGGCAGGAGAAATCCCCAAGCCAACACACTCACACCTTGTTTTTTCGCCCAATCCTCTTCACGCCTCTCTATGTAAACTGATTCGGTCTTGGATTTCTTCTTCTGTACAGGGGTGACTGCTACTGGCATGGGTTGCTCCTCTGGTTCAGCTGCAGCTTGAGTGGCCACAGCACCTGTTGGTATGCTTTCCTTCTCCTCCATCTGAGAGTGCTGTTTAGTATTGCGTTGTGCCTGATAAATAGTAGCCAGGGCACACCACACTGCAATAAGTTGCTCCTCTCTGGAACTGCCACAGCATTTCTCTTCCAAAGAGTCTGCTGCTTTATCAGGATCCTATAGTTGACAGTGGTGAATGTCCAAACCATTGGAGCAGAACAGTCCTTTAAAAGCTGCCCCATTTTCTCCCACATTCCATGCCCCTGCGGGCTACTGCAAAAATTTAACCCTGTCCAGCCCGCCTTCCTGCAAAGGTGACCAGAAGCCTCAGGCTGTGATTCCTGGGCAGTGAGCGCGGCGGGATGAGCCGGATGAGCTGGATGAGCCGGAGCGGCGGGATGAGCCGGAGCGGCGGGATGAGCCGGAGCGGCGGGATGAGCCGGATGAGCGGGATGAGCCGGAGCGGCGGGATGAGCCGGATGAGCTGGATGAGCCGGAGCGGCGGGATGAGCGGGATGAGCTGGATGAGCGGGATGAGCGGGATGAGCGGGATGAGCGGGATGAGCGGGATGAGCGGGATGAGCGGGATGAGCGGGATGAGCGGGATGAGCCGGAGCGCCCGCGCTGTGCTGGCAGCGGCCGCCGGGGGCGCTGTTACAGGGGGTGGGCGGGGGTCCCGCCCCTCTGCTGGCCTTGGCCACGCCCCCTCCCGTTGTTCTGGCAACGCCGCGCGCGCCCGGGCGCGAGTGGCTGAGGGCGCTGCCCGGGAGGGACCGCGAGTGACACGGGGACAGCGGTGACACAGGGACAGCCCTCGGTCCGCCAGCCCGGCGGTAGGCGGGGAGCTTCACCCTCGGGAGTCTTGGGGAGGCCGCGAAGCTTCTGCGAAGGCTGGAGCAGCTCTGCCGTGGCGGCCGGCTGGGAGAACTGGGGTTGTGCAGCTTGGAGGAGGCTCCTGGGAGACCACAGAGCCCCTTCCTGTGTCTGAACGGGCTCCAAGAGAGCTGGGGAGGGACTTGGGACAGGAGCCTCCCGGGACAGAACGAGGGGGCACGGTCTCACACTGACAGAGGGTAGGGTTCGATGGGATATGGGGAAGAAGTTTTTTCCTGTCGGGGTGGGGAGGCCCTGGCACAGGTTGCCCAGGGAAACTGTGGCTGCCCCATCCCTGGAAGTGTCCAAGGCCAGGTTGGACGGGGCTTGGAGCAACCTGGACTAGTGGAAGATGTCCCTGTCCATGGGATGGGCTTGAAGGTCCCTTGCAGCACAGACCATTCTGTGATTCAAGGAAGGCCCTTTTCTAACTGAAATGTTGTATCTCCTCTTGACTGCCAGCTTGTAGCTGCCAGTTCTCTGGAAGCAGGCCTGGCAGCCACCTGTTATCAATAGGATGTGTGTGACATGTTTGCAGAGAGGAAGGCTGTAAACCCATCTTTAAGACCAAGGTAAACAACCCCAAAGGACTGAGTAAAAGCCAAAGGAATTGGTTGTGTTGTCAATTATTTACTGGCTGTTGAAGTGACATCAGGCAAGAGGTCAGTTTCAACCTTTCTAGGTTTCGTTTGAGTAGAAAATAATTGTGTTATCTCCAGCGTATGCTCTCTGATGCATCTCCATGTGTTCTCACCTCTTCATTGTGTATCAGGATATATTAACTGAAGGCAGAATCATTACAACACAGCAGTAAAATATATTAAGAGTCACAGCCAGATTTCTCACTCTACTGTTGACTTTCCTGGTAACCGTAAACAAGGCACACAATCCAGTTGGCTCCACTTTTCCTCTCTGAGGAGAAGGTTAACCTTTTTTTCTCATTTTCAAAATAGCCTTAGATGGTTATGCCCATGCCAAGTAGGGTTCCTTTTTTTGCTTTTCTCTTCTGCCACCATTCTCCCACAATTTTTATGAACTATTTTGTCACCGTTCTCCATTCAGGAGGTTGGAAGGAATTCTAACTGTTGATTTTATGGTTCTTTGAAGGCTCACTTAGCACACTTTTTGAGTGAAGGAAAGAAGAAAACTAGGTCTTCTAAGAAGAGTAAAATGCTCACTTCGGATGGGTATGCAGAAATGTCTGCTGATGCCGTGCTACTACCATGTTATCAGCAGAAGTGTGTTGGAAAAATGCCTGTCAAGGACTCCACAAGAAAGGCACAATCAGACAGGTAGAGAACAGAAGCATAAACCCCCAATTATATGTTAATTACTATAGAAATGAAGTTGTAAGATTTGCACTTGGAGCTAGAAATTTCTGAATTCTTGGTCATAGCACTAACGACTTGTAATAACAGACTGTCTCCTTGCTAGATGTAAATTTAGTAAATTGGTCTGCTACCTGTTAAAGTGCAGGCTAACAGGCTGATATTTGTAATGGCAGGCATATTGTATGGCTTTCCTTTGCAAAAGAAATTGCCCATCTTCTTTGCTCACAGCAGTCTAGATACATGCTGAGTCTGACACATATTTTTTAACTATATTTCAAAGTATGTTGATGATTTACATGATGATGATGATGATGCAGTAAGATTATGTAATGAACAAGAAAGAAGTTAATGCATCCATCCTTTTTACCCTAACCCTGCTGCTGAATTCTCCTGGATTCCCACTGACCCCAAGGAGAAACACAGTGCCCAAGCTGATGGAAAGAGCAGTGGACTGAAAAAGGCTATTTTCACATTTCTTGCTAGTTCCTCCTTGAGACTTCATAGATTCTTATACCTTTTAGGCATAGTGTGTTTGTCTTTGTAGTTTGCATGCACTAAATCTAGCATGTATTGCTTTAATGCCATCATAACAGATTTGAAGTTGGGGTCAAACCCCACTAGATAATTACTCAGTTCAGTTCATCTCAGAAGAAGCAATGTTGATTCTTTGAATCATATTCTTTGAAGTTAGAATGATACTTACGTTCACTTAAATATTACATTTTGCCAATTAAAGTGAATATTCTGCTATTATGCTAGTCCCTCTTCTTGCACATTTAGTACAAATCAAAGTTTTATTCTCTTCTTGTTTCAGAGAACCTACAACATCTCCAAAGGCCTGGAGAAATGTAGATACAGGTTCAGCTGAGGAAGTCAGAGGCCTACCTGATATAGTTGGTAAAATTGTTTTCCCTTAATGTCAGCTATTTAAATTTGCATTCAGAGACACTATACATGTAGCAGTTTTAGCTGAACAAGGTATAAAATCAAGCTCAGAAATGACCTGACGCATTTTGATGATTTGTAGGTAATTTTGAAGCTGAAGAGTCTGCTCCTAGGAAAAAAAAAAGGTTGTGAAATTGTCAGTCAATCACAGCTAAATTCCAGTTCTGATGTAAGCAGATCTCATTCTTGAAATGATACAACTTTTTTTCATCATACCTGAGTCTAGTTGATAGCTTCCATGCTTTTATCCTGAAAATCATAAGTTAATAAAAGAAGTTTTCAAATATGCTCAAGTATTTTTAATCTCCATTTGCAAAGATTTCCTTTCCTACGCTGCACACTGTAGGAGCTGTGCAAACTGCAACAGTCATAGTGTGGATTTAGGGATTTATTGTTTGTGGATCCCATATTCTGCAGCAAGAGTTCCAGGCTCCATCATCCTCGTTTCTTTCTTGGCAGTTCCTGAGGAAAAAAGCAGCGAGGCCTTGAAATGTCTGCCAGAACGGCTGCAAAAGCGTCACGATCAAGCAGTGACCAAAATGCAGCAGGAGCTGGACTACACTGGTAGAGTAAGGCAGGATTTTTTAATCTAGATAGTCTAGCGTGCTATTCTAAGGTCAGGGCCCAATATTCAAGCGATCACACTGGGTTCCTTCTCTTTTTAGGAGATGGAAGCCTCTGTTTTGGAGCTTCAAAAAAGCCTTCAACTAAATGTGACGAAATCCGATAAAAAAAGTAAACTTCTGTTTGAAAAGATTATGTCTGACACGGCTCTAGAAGGTTTCTCGTTTGAAGTAAGGCAGCTCAGAGCATTGGCTCACCTTCAGTTATTTGTACCTGCTCTGTGTGACAGGTTCTCATGGCTCACTGGAGTCTAAAGATCTGTTTTCTTTTTTCAATTTTTCTTTTTTTTTACATTTACTTTTCAGAGAGATTGAGAGTAAATTCTTATTGCAGGGTTTGGAAAAACTGTGGAATATGATTCACCAGGAATCCTTGAACAGAAAGAAGTGGATTAGGACAATGGATGAATCCCTAAAGGAGATTGAAAGGAGACAAACCTCTAAAGTGAGATGCAGACTTAATAACTTTTACTTAAGGATAAAATTATTATTTGCTGATAGTGCTGGATGCAGACCAAAGAATAGCTTGTTTCCATAGGAGTCAGAGGTCTGCCAGTAGCTCTATTGTGTGGTGATTGCTTTCTTTTCACCAATAGACTATTCAGTCATTTTATATCCGCATAATCAGAAGAAAATACTTTTTTTCCAGTTTCAAGGTGTTTCTTTCTTGCTTAATTAACTGTACTAAAGGTGAGATGCTTTTATTTTCCTGAAAGGGTTTTTTAGGTCAACCTGTCATCTGATCTGTTATTTTTTGGGAATAGCTGAGAAAGAGCACAGGCATGACCTAGCTCAGTTTTAGTTGGGGTAGGCTGGGTATCAGTAGCAGATTTATTGCATATGTGTAGGCTTCAGGCTGACTTGTAAAAGTCATTGGACATCACAGTAAATGTTTGGATAAATAAATAGATACCCCTTAAGGAGGTCCTTGCTGCGTTGTTCTCGTAGGCAAACAAAAGCTGTTTGTTCTGTGCCAGTTTGTCCTCTTTGTAATGCAGACATAGTGATAGGTCCAAGAGTATCACCAGTAACTTTATGTTTGTTTAGTTATGAAAAAGGCCAGAGATGGTGACATTTCCCTAAATTTTGTGTTTGCGTAAAACAGGGACTGGTGGATTCACTCCAGATGTTTGAAAGGAAGTTGGTTTGATTTTTAAATTCATATTGCAGCTTGTCGTCAGAGTGCTCAGTTATCACAGATATGAAAGAAAAAGCAGATGAGTAGTAACAAAGTGGAAAGTTTTAGTTACTTTTTAATGAATGATTTAAAAAAATCAGTCTTTAAGATATTTAAGATTAATATTTTCAGGTTTATTTCTCAATCTATCAACCAGTTGAATTTATTTTAATGGAAAAAATTGTTTTGTTCATATAATTTTTTAACTTGGGAAACTGACATCTTTTTTAGTTGTTGGTTTTCTTTATTTTATTGCACAGATAGCAGATATACTGAAAAAGTATACAGTGAAACTGGAGGAAATTTCCTTCTTCTTGGCAGCTGATGTTCACAAGCTCATCAATGACGAGGCCATGGTAAATGTTTTATCTGGGGCAAGATAGCAATCTGAATATTCCCAGAATGTCTTTTTTTTCCCAACTGAAATTCATTTTTTCTACTTATCAATCACTGACATATAAAAGAAGTTTCTATTTTGCAGGATATTCTTTATCATTTGTATTCTTTTCTCCCTCATTTTACGTGGAAGAGACAATTTATATTTTTTTATGTTGTATGCTGATAAAAGACTCCTGATTTTATTTTTTAATATGCAGAATATAAACCGAGCACTGTTGGGTAATAGGAGGGCAACTGCCAAGCTGCTCTTTAATCTAATGAAATCAGAGCTTGAGAAGGAAAAGTCTCATCAATTGAAATGGCAAGAGAGAGTCAAGGACTGGAAGCTCATCCAAAAGAACCGTGTAATTCAGAGTTTCAGGTCAGAAATTTAACAATCATATTTTGGAGAATGAGTAACACAAAGTGACTAGTGTTCATTTGTGTTTTCTATAAACAGTAATATTTTATCATTTTTTCATTAAACATATGATACATATCACATAGGACATCACATATATCACATTTTCATTATACATATCATTTTTCCATCCTACAGAGAATTTATGGCAAGTGAAGAAATACAGAATCCTTCCACTGTGAAAACAGAAATGGAAAATATGATAAAGGAGCAGATTGTACTTAGTGAGCGGAGACTGGGGGTTTTGCAGCACATTGGGTATGGCAAAAGAGAAACAATTCTTTCTGCAGTTAATAGGGGACTTGGCTACAAAATGCACTTTGCTTTCTGCCAGTGTGTGATTGTACAGTTCAGAAGTAGGCAGGTCCTAAACTTTTTTTGGTAAAACTCTTTTTAATGGAAAAAATGCATTCTTCGTTTCGTTCAGTGCACCAGCTACACTAAGTAGGGGATGATCAAGAGCTAGAAATGCAGGAGTGCAAAAGTAAATCTTAACTAATATTTGAAACATGGTATAAATAAACAGACAAGAATGGGTAGAGAACTAGAAGTTAGTGCTTTAGTCAAGGCATTGTTTCTGCACGGGATTTCATTTGTGTAATAAATTAAGGGAGAATCTGGGTAGAAAGCTAACTGTCTATGTTTGAATATCCATCCTGACAACAAGCATTTTTGGATGCAATGCATTACAATATTTACAGCTTTTCTTTTACAATGAATATAGGAACAACTTAGTTCCTTGTCAGTCAGTTGTTCAGTGGCCTTGAACAACAGCTGTCTCCTTGGTTTATAAAGTGGAGTGGTATGGAAACTGATTCATAATTTTATCTTTTAACAACTGACTGGTTTATATGTTAAGTATCTTAACTCTCGTTTCCTATTTTGATAGCACCTTGATGCCTCCTATGCACATGAAATCTGAGATAAATGAATGGTACAGAACTCTGGAGAATTTAAACCAAAGTTTAGGTAAGTTTGGAAATCGTAAAAACAATCTGGAATTCAAGCAATTCTTTCTTTTTTTTTCCAGGCAGTAACAAAGCAGGCAGTTGCTTTGAAAGTGCATGTTTGCTCTTTTCTTTGTTTCATGTGTTTTTACATACCTTCTCAAGTTGCTTTGAGTGGGCAATAGGACCCAAAGAAGTTGTCTGTGGCATTACCTCCCTTTGGCCAGCACAGGTATTTGTGCATGGTGAGATCTAGCTGGAACTGTCTTGGTTAGAATTAATCCAGGGGAGATAGAAGGTTAATTTTGAATGGATCAGTTCTTAATCATACAAAAATACTCCTTTTTACCTCTTGGAGAAGGAGAGGGAAAATTTTGGAGATGTTTCCTTTGTCTGAGTCCTATAGAGTGCCTTCCCCCTGTGTGTCTGCCTTCTTTTATTCCAGAGCACATCCTGTCATGATATTTGTAGCCTGTGTAGTAGCAAAGAAGTTGATAGCACTTGTAAATAACTTGCTACTTTTAAGCATAATGTTAAACAGATTTGTATTAAACCATCTTATATGATTGACTGGTTGTGTCGCACAAGTGTGCAGACCTGCTGGGATCTGTTCCTATGCTGAGATTCAGCACAGGGCTTCTGTCACCTTTCCATTTCACACTGCACTGTGAAATACAGAAGAGTGTGGTCTTCTCTATATCCTTCAGACACCCACAGTATGGAGTGCGTGAAGAAAATGCGCATCAAGTATGAGCTGGTCCAGGGCAAATGTCGGGAGAAAGTGCAGGTCTGCAAGGTGAGTGTCACAGCTTTGGGAGTTCTTGGAAGGATTGTTGATAGCTGTGTACAGTGTCAGTACAGTAAAAAATATTTGAGGATCCACCAAATGTTGAGATAATAAGTGAAATTACTTTTTAATGTCTGTCTTATTCTGTTAGAGAAGTTGCTTGAAGTGTCTTATTTTGAGAAAGAAATTCCACCTCTCTGCCTCAGTTTCTTTCCTTATGTTCAATAGAATTGTACTATTTACAGAATGTGAGATCTGGGGGGTTGAGTCTTTCTCTGTCCATCACAAGCAGAACCACAAGAAATTGTTTAGCCATACTCTCTAAAAGCCACACAGTATTTGTTATATGCATGTCAGTAACTTGGCTTTTTGTGTGTTTAGATGAGCCTGTTGGATATGAATGTTTGCACGGTAAAAGATGTTGAACTTGTGCATTCTGACATGCTTCAGATGGCTGAGAAACTAGAACGTAGGTTTGAAGAAGAACTGGAGCGTATGGATGTACGTTTATCACGTATATTTTTACTACTCCCTGGGATTAGTTTGTTCTTCCTGCACTCCCACCTGCAGTGCCATCTGCATCTGAGGCTACTGATGTCACACTAAAATGAGATCCATAGTGCAAGTGAACACCACAAAGAAAAGAAGCTTGGTGTGATTCCAGGAGAAGAGTTCATAACGATTTGGTTTTTATTTGTTATATAAATATATTTATATGATAATTTATATTTGTAATATAAATATATATGTCAGGGATGAATTATGTATAGCCCAACCTGCCTAGAGGCAGAGGAATAGATCTAAACGATCTCCCAAATTCCTTTCAATCTGATTTTTTATGATTCTGTACAAGAAAATGACTGGGCAGTCATTCCTAAAATGATAGATGGCAGAACTTGGATATTCTGTACTTTACAGTACCAGAAGAATAAACAGAAGCTTTGATACTCTTAGCTTGTAGAATAAAAGTCCACATTTTTATACAGTTTACTGGGATGTTTTTTTCCTCTCACTATGTTGAATACTGGCAGTGTACTTCCCAGCAGACTTTTGTCATGTTACATATCCTCTTATTCATTCATTTCACCTTCCAGCAGTTTCAAAATAACTTAGTCACTTTAATTTTTTTCTTTAGAGAGACTTTAAGGAGATGGCTAAACAGCATGAGCGGTGTTGTCAAGGCTTGTACAGCTATTTTCAGGAGGCCATGGCCCTCTGGGATTTCCATAAACTTCAACTGTCCCAGCAGGAAGGTCAACTTCAGAAGAAAGTAGATGAATGCAGATGGGAACAGGATACTATTATACAGGTATAGACATAAATCAAGGATGTGGTATGACGCAAAGAAAGGACTTCTTAATGCAAAGAGCCCCCTGAAATTCAAAATTAAATGAAAAACTTAATCTTTGACTTTTATACTGGACTTTCTACGTGTCAGTTTCATTCTGTCAGGCGCATCTTTGCTAACTGCTGTCCACACTGAGTGGACAGTCATATCATATTCTTGATATAGCAACAGTGGTAAAGATTGTATTTTCATTGTGAAGTGCTATCATAAAATCTTGTGCAGGTATGGAGTCTTGTTTGGATGTCAAGTTCTCGTAACAAGCGACTTAGGGTGACAATGTCAGACATGTTAATTACGTAGGAAAGGTCTTCATAGGCAATGAGTTTTACTAAGGTAGCTTCTCTTCTTGTTGTAAAATATATGTACATAATCCATAATCAAATTAATTGAATCCTAAATAGTTAAGGAGATTTTAGTATATACTAAATGATTTTTACTTGTATTCTTTATGTGGCCTTAGATGAGAAAAGTTGATCTGGATATAGTTTTGGAAAAAATGAAAATGGCAAGCTGTGAAGAAGAGCTTAAGAAATATATGGAGAAGGCCCTTTCTTCTTTAGATCATATTAGAACTAGGTATGAATTTTTTTAGTGTAAACTTAAAAAATAAAGTATACTTTAATGTTGTCTGTACTACTTAGGTCTTGTTTCTGTTGTAGTGTGAAGGTGTGGAAAAACACTGCTTGTTACTTCATGAAATACTGTAAAATGAAATAATGTACATAATAATAATGGCCAGTCTTCACGAGTGAAGATCCGGGGAAGGTCTTTCCACCTTCCAGCCTGCGCATTGGATTTTTTAGGTGAGACACAGTGTGCGCGGAACTGAGCCCACCCTTTAATCCTAAGGTTCATCTGCCGGGGCCAAGCGAGCTTGGACGGTGGCAGCGAGGTCCTTAGGACGTAGGTGGGTTCGATTCCCGGTCAGGGCCACTCCCGGGCAGGTGGGGCTCGTTAGCCCTTAAATAATGTACATACTGAACAAGGTTAAGGCAAATAATACTCATGTTTTATGAGCAGCACTAAGGAAGACTGGTATCACTCAAAAATTATACCAGATCAGTATGTTATGTAGTATACCATGCATCCATGCCTTATTCAGAAGTTAAAAGTAATAGTTCAGATTCTTGAATTACAGGAATCAGAAATTAGTCTGCACCATCACCTGTGGTCTCACATTTGATCTTGGTCAAAATATTGCATGGACTAGAATTCACTAAGAACTTTAAGTTAGCCCAAATATTTATTTTGGTAATATTTTTGTTACCTGTCTCATGATTAGGCATTTGCAATTATAAAAGTCATATAAAAATTGGCACATACCAATCCCCTGGCTTAGCAGCAGGAGTGAAGATTAAATAGCCTGAGAGGAAGCTGCTGTATTCCCACACCCAGGAGGTCGAGGCATGCTAGAAGAATGATGTGGACCTGAGGGGCCGATGCACGCACCTCACAGTGGGATTGTGGTTAGAGTTATGGGGTTGGTACTCTTAATGCTCATTAGAATGATTAAAAAAACCCCAAAGGTAATGGACCAAGTTAAAATACAATGTGAGGTTGCAGAAGGCAATGTAACCTATTGTTATGATCTGGTTATTAAAATTATTAGAAATGCCTCTGCCCAAATTAAGATTCAAACAAGATCATATGCCAAAGTCAATAGTATGGATTTTATTTAGCGGTAAATATGAGGCAGAGAAAGATAGATAGAAAGAAATAGAAAAAAGGAGGGAGGAGAAAGAGAGTGATAGAGATTAAAATACAAAATATATCACCAATCATGAAACCCAGCAGTGTCCCATGGGTCTTGCTCTTCTGGTCTTCTCAGGGATGAGAGTCCCACAAAACTTAGAGTCCAGTGGATTAATATACATTCAGGGGATGCCAATCACCTCCCTTGGGGTGGGGAAGCTTTGCAGTCTCTTGTGACAGGCTCTGGATTTGTTGCCTCACTTGGATCACGTGCAGTCCTCTGGTTGTGGAAAGCATCAGGAATGAGTTGGGGGGGTCGCTTTGGGAGTCTTTGATGGTTTGTGACCCCTTCTCAGCTGCCTCTCACATGAATGTCCCATGTGTGCATGGTCTTCCCAGTGTGGGCAGATTTTGCCATCACGTGCCCAAAACCCTTCTCTTCCACCTGCTGAGCCTTGTTTACTTCTCCTCCGACCCGAGATAACTGGACAATAGTTTTATCTCAAGTTCTTGTCACAGTCCAAATTCCGGTCAGGAGGCGTGTTTGGAAGTGGAAGGTCCTTTGGTGGTTGCAGACAGGCAGTTGCTTCCTTGCAGTTTAACAAGAAGTTTCCTTTTGATTTTTAATGATGTTTAAGACATTAACAACATTTCAGTCTATCACACCTATCTGAATATTTGAACACTGTATTAGGTCTGGCTGAGCTGGCGTTCATTTCCCCATAGCAGCCCTCAGAGTGCTGTGCTTGGCATTGGTAGCTAGAAGGGATTTAATAACACACCAGTGTTTTGGCTGGAGGCCCTGGTGGTCTAGTGGTAAAGGCGCGGCGCTATCACCACCGAGACCCAGGTTCGATTCCGGTCAGGGCCACTCCCGGGCAGGTGGAGCTCGTTAGCCCTTAAAGGCAACCCACCTACGTCCTAAGGACCTCACTGCCACTGTCCAAGCTCGCTTGGCCCCGGCAGATGAACCTTAGGATTAAAGGGTGGGCTCAGTTCCGCGCACACTGTGTCTCACCTAAAAAATCCAATGCGCAGGCTGGAAGGTGGAAAGACCTTCCTCGGATCTTCACTCGTGAAGACTGGCCATTATTTATTAGTGTTTTGGCTACTGCTGAGGAGTGCTGGCACAGCATTCTCCCCTCTCCAGTCCAGGGGGAGATCCTGGAAGGGGGCACAAGTGGGCCAGCTGACCCAAGGATATTCCATACCATGTGATGCCAGCTCAGATGCTAAGGAAAGGAGGAGGAAGGGGGGCATTAGTTGCTTACAATGTTTGCCTGCATAGCAGCCACTCCATGTGCTGAAGCCCTGCTTTCTGGGAACAACACTTGCTAATGGGAAGTAGAGAATAAACCTTGTTATTTTCCTCTTCACTTGTGCATGTGCAAACTTTTGCTTTTGCTTTAGTGAAGTGCCTTATCTCAACCTTCGGGTTGTCTTCCATGTTATTCTCTCTCCTATCCGGCTGGGAAAGGCACCTGGTATCCAGCCAAGGTCAACCCATCACAAATATGTACATAAATTCCCCATAATTATCTTTGTTTAGGAGACAAAGCGAATGTAAATGAAAATAGGTGTGAACATTGATTTTTTTTTTTCTTGAACCAAGACTCAGCTTGAACCAAGACTCAGCTTGAACCATTAGTTTTTATTTCCAATGAAAACAAACCAGAAGAGCTCATTCAAAGCTGAGCACCAATACAGAACAGATATGGAAGACAGTAATTTGACCTCTCATTTCTAATATTCCTTACATAAGCACAGATTTTGAATGGTTTCCCATCCAAAAGGAAAGATGTGAAAGGCTTTGTTGTGAATATTTCCTAATTTTTGTGCATTTATATGTTTGTAATGAACTAATCTCTACTAATAAGCCAGGATGTGATTGTATTTGGTATAAACATATCAAGTGCAACATTTAGCCTAAAGGTTTTATGAGATTGGTGAGAAAGTTAAATTTGGATTTAAAGGCACCATAATCAAATTTATTTTATTTCTGTACATTCTTGAATCTCTTAAGGAGTAACCTTAAATTTGACAGGAATGAGACACTCAACCAAGCTGTAATGGATGAAGTAATGGCTTACCCAAAAGCTGTTTTGCGGGAGTTGATTTCTTACAGCACATCCATCAGCCAGCATTTTAATGTAAAGGAAATCTTCAAACAGGTAAAAATTTTGTCTTGTTACAAACTGCATTTCAGCAAATTCATTTGGCTTTTAAACAGAAAACTACAGGGAAACAAACTTATATTAGTGAATTTGAGTGCTACAGGTTCTTTAGACAATAAGTGATCTATTCAAGACTATCATAACTTACTGAAATAGATATATTTTGAGAAGGGATATGGATTTCTTATAAGCAGGTAAATCTGTATTTTAAAATGGTATTTTTTTTTGCTTTTAGAACTTGCAAGGCAAGATAGCCCCTACAGTTCAAGATCAAAGTAATACCTCAATGGTACAAACACGTATTTTTGCTTGCTTTTTTTTTCAATCTTTGGATTGTATCCAGTAAATATTGTATCTCTTTGGACTGTAACCAGTAAATCTGTGCTCTAACTGTAAATGACTAGTTGAGGCTTCAGAAGCTGAACATGTAGTGAAGCAGCAAGCTGAGAGCATTGTGCAAGGAAATGAAAGAGAGGAAAATTGTAGAATATCCTGAGTTGGGAGGGACCCACAAAGATCATCCAAGTCCAACTCCTGGCCCTGCACAGACACCCCAACGAAATCATGTGCCTGAGAACATTGTCCAAACGGTCCTGGGGGCTGTGACCACTGCCCTGGGAAGCCTGTTCAGTGCCCAAATGCCCTCTGGGGGAAGAACCTTTTCCTGAGATCCAGCTAAGCTTCCTCTGACATAGATCCATCCATTCCCTCGGCTCTTGGCCCTGCTCACACGGAGCAGAGATCGGAGCTGCCCCTCCACACCCCTTGCAGCTGCAGACCCCAATGAGCTCTGAACTCAGTCTCCTCCAGCTGAACAAGGCAAACTACCTCAGCCATTCCTCATAAGGCTTCCCCTCTAGTCCCTTCCCCATCTGTGTCTCTGTCCTTTGGACACTCCCTAATAGGTTTAGATCTTTTATTGTAGCATCCAAAATTGCCTCCAGGACTCGAGGTGAGGCCGCACCAGCACAGAGCAGAGTGGGACAATCGGCTCTCTCAACCAGTGCTGGAAGAGATAGACAGTTGTCAACGATCAGATGGAGAAACAAACCCAGCTGAGCATGAGGAGATCTTGGCACAGGAAACTGAAGAAACAGAGGAAGATGGAGAGAGCATTCCTCATAAAAGTGAAGAAACCGAACATGCAGAACAAGGGGTAAGCGTTACAGAAGTTAAGTGAACAAGAGAATAAAATTGAAGGTGAAGGCAGTCTTGCCCAAAATAAGGAGGAATAGGAAGTCTTTTTACTGAGGATGAATAGAAAGTCTTTGTTTGCTCAGTTTGTACACAAAGCCAATAGGGTTTTAGATCCTTCTTATGGACAAATAGAGTGTATAAAACTGTTTACAAGCACTGCTTTTACCCTTGTAAAAACCCTTTGCATAGATTTTTTTTTTTTTAAATCTTTCTTTCATCAGTGTTCTTAAGCCATGGTGAATGTTTTAAGCTATTTGTACCTAAGTATTGTTTTTTCAGGTCTTTAATTCCATTAATTTATTAACATATCAAAACCCATCTAAAACATTGATGACTTTGCCTATTGAGTCTTCCCAGCTTATATAAATATTGCTTTACACTGTATAAATGTTGTCCAAATTGAGAATGAAAATGTTATTCTTAATATCCTTAGGATTCTTACATTAGCTTGTGATGTGTTGATTCTATGCTGATACCTTTAAAGGTAACAGACGATGATTTCCAACTGTTCACTAGGCAGTGTTCAATAGCAGCAAGGCAAAAAGTGCTGAAATTGCCATGGAGAAATTTTCCACTGTTAGTGGAAACATTTACACTGTCCTTGGAGTTGAAGAGGCAGGAAAGACTGATATAACAGAGAATTATTTTACAAAATATGAAAAGGAAGAATCACTTCCTATGTACCTGAAATATATTCTTCTCAAAGAAGCTGTGTTTGTCAAGCTGAAGAAAAAGTGAGTAGAAAACAACTTCTTTATGTAATAGACAAATTTCAGCTGTTTCGAAGAAACATTATACTGAAGAGGCCAAAATTATCTAATTATTAGTATATAATCAGATATTTTAATTATAAAATTATAATTGTATACTTATTATGTTATTCCTCTTTTTAAAATTGATACAAATATAAGAAAATGTTTATATTACATTGTATCAATCCTTCCAAGGTACCACACAAGCACTTACCTTTACAGAACATTCATATTTTATGGAAATTTATTAAGTGAGAAAACAAATTACAGAAACACAAGTAAAACTTCCAAATTCCCTGCAGAGCCATGAAGGTAAAATGCCTGGTACTCAGTAGTATGCAGCTAGCTCAAAAACTTAACCAATATTGTGCAAATGGTACTGAAAGCATATCTTCCTATAGTCAGAAGTGAAATTCGTAGAATTAATGTATTTAATAAATTCTTATTTATTATTTAGTGTTCCTCACTGTAATATTTCTTTTTCAATCATAGGATTCGCCTCTGCTTTTTTGAACACTTGGAGAAATGGTTTGCAGAATCCTTGTCCAACTCCCATGTCTTTGTGGCTGCCAAGAAAGAGGAGCTGAATTCAATACTTCTGCTGCATCGTCAGTTGCATCAACAAAAGCAGGAGGAGATACAGACAAATATGTACAACGTTCGAGCTGGTACTGATTTTTTTTTTACTCTGAGCATTGTATGCCTTTGTTTAGAGATGATCATAAGTGGACCTAAACTGTCTCAGCATTAGTTGACTCAGTTGTAAAGAACAGCTGAGCAAGGAAGCAGTTGAGTATCTACAAATTCCCAGTATAATATGTTACTCATATATTTTCAGAATGATATTTCTATACCTCTTCCTGGGTTGTGCTATGTTATGTTTGGAAAAATAGACGGGAATGCCTTGATCAACAACTGGATTGTACAAGATGAAGAACGCTGTATTGTCAATGTTTGTAAATTCTCATTCGCCTTGAAATTATTTAACAAGGGTTTTTATTGTACAAAAAATAATTCTACAAGTGTTGCAGAGAAAGAATTAGCGAGTTGAGAGAGCTGAAATGCCAGGACCAGGCTTCTGGAAACATGAGAGGAAGGATTTAGCTCTATGAAATATCACTGAGTAACTACAGAGCAGTCACTAATCAAAACTTTTTTTGCATGAGAGTTGTCTGGTTTTTATGGTGAGAAAAAAGTATTTTATACAGATTTGTTGGTCTTTAACATATAAAGTAAAAAATTCTCTCTTAGGAGAACAGGCAAATCATTTTTCAATTTCCCTTTTTCCACAAAGAGGACAGGTGCTTTTTCTGGCTGCTTTCTTGAGGCAATTGGCTGGCTCTTGATTTATCCAACTACCATTCCAGAAGGGAGACCAAAATTGATGGTTTTTTCCCCTTACAAACCCAAGGAGAATGTATTTTCCATTAAAAAAAAACCACAACACTTTACTTTTGTTACAAGACTAAGAACAGAGAGATAATGAAGACGTCAGCAATGAACAAAAATAAAGGAAAAAGAATGCTAAGAGCAAAAAAGAGACTTTGTGTTTTGAATGGATTAGAAGCTGCTAAGGATATATGTTTAACACAGGAGAAAGTCAAAGAAACCAAATAGAATGTATTTTATTTGTATGGTTTAGCTACTGTGAGGTCTGGCTCTGTTTATTTTGCTGCTGCTGTTGGTCGTAGGTTCACTGGGCATTGTGATAGTCCACAGCAAACAGAGAATAATATCCACATTGTCAAACTTCTTTTCTTCTCAGGGGAACTGTCACTTCACAAAGAGCGTCTTGAATGCCACTGTGCGGGGCTGGGAGAAGGCCTGAAAAAGGAGAAAGCTGAATTTCTCAAATTTTTGGATCAGCTAAATAACCTCAACACAAACTTAGGCTCCCAAATCCGTAACTTGGAGTATGACTTCCTCCATGCTCCTAAGACTGAGCAGTAAGTGTGGCACAGGTGTTTCTGGCTGTAAATCCCACAGTTAAATACTCCTGATTGCTGTCTGAGATGTTTCTGGTTTGCCTTCTGAACCTGTTTTATACATCATTATTCTTCAATGAAGACTACTTTATAAAACTTGAAAAGATGTAAAGAATTTAAATTCTCTCTCCCTGAAAAAATTAAAATCAGGGCTGAACATGTGGAAATTTTCATCTCTTTTCAAAGTGCTGGCAGTCTTTAAATAGAAAAGATGTTTCATCTGTTTAGATTTTATCCACTTTACTGAACCTGCACAGTAATAGTAATTGACTAATTGATTTTGAAGAAAATTTCTCAGTAGCATCAGCTGTTGCTGAAACCTTCCATGTGTTCATTCAGACCATCCTAGCTTTCAGAATTCACTTAATCACTTTTGAATTCTGACATTTGTTCGTGTCTTTACAGCCAGCAGTCACTAAAACATCATGTGTGTTTGTCTTCTGACATGATGTCCCTGTCTTTTATTATTTGCTGTTAGGTCAGCTTCTTTCAGCAACAATCTGCAACCACAGCTCCACAATCATCTGGAATCAATTGGGCTTACTGTGAGGAGTTACCAACACCATCTGGAGGAAGCTTTAGGGAAACTTAAGTGTTCAAATGTAGATTTTCTCAAAACTTGCAGGTATAGAAATACGGAAGTTTTGTTTATAAATAGTGACCTATTTCTGGGCATTGGTGTTTGTTGCATAGGCGGAACACTAAAATTTAAGTTTGTTTTGTTATTCATCTAGTTTGCTATTTAAAAAAAAATATTCTGTTAAACCACTATTATACTGTTTTCATGACATTTGTGTTGATATCTACATTTTAGGGCTGCTTAGCTAAAATAGTCTTGGAGAAAAAGAACAGGCACAGCTTCTACTTTTGTTTTCAGATTATTTTCAGAGGGAGGTAACTTCTCTTCTGAAGAGGTAAAGTTTTTCAACAGATATCTTCAGAATGAAAGTAAGCAAATTGACTCTTTGGAAAGTTTAATCAAAACAGATGTGCAGAAAATGGAATCAAGCTGCTTGGAGCAGGTATGCAGAGTTTCATTCTTTGAAATGATATTTTCTCTTAATATAGCTGATTTGCAGTCAGCCTGCTTTTAAGTTGTAACAGTAAGACTGTTTTCTTTGGCAATTACATGATGAAAAAAAGAAATAAAAATGGCAGGTTCTATTATATAAGTTTTAAAAAGTGAAAAATTACCTAGTCCTGTCTCTTGTTTCTGGCATTCTTAAAGGCTACTGCACTTATCAAGCAGTCTGAAAAGAAATTTGCTGATGTCTCTGTGAGTCGAGCCTTTATGGAGAAGGTTCAGCGATCTTTGAGATGGCTACAACAGCAAATCAAATCAGAGGTACAAACAGAAACATCAGGACTTTCCTTAAACTCCATATAATAATTTTATTCTATTGAAGAGATTTTGGCTGAATTCAGAGTGGACAAACATTAAGTAACTTGTTGTGTTAATTCAAAACCTATTTTCTGGCACTGTCAGCTTAAAACTTTTATGTTTACTGCTGCAGCTGTGCTGGAACACTATGGCCCTGCAGCACATTGAGTATGTACATCTGAATTGACCAGCATTTTTGTGTGGTACAGTGAAGGGCATCAGGTGTTGCTTTTGTGAATTACTGTTTTCATCTTCTCCTCTGAGTACCAGGGACTTTTACCTGTTTTTTTTATCAGTGATTCTAGTGGTTTGAAGGTGGAGGCTCTGAAAATCCCCTGAATGGGGATTTTACTTCCCTACTATCTGCTTCTGCTTTAGGTAGCAAATTCCAATTTGCAGTCAGTGACATTGAAGTCTTACCTGGAGAAGCTCCAGCAGAAGAGACATGCTTGTGCTCATCCTGCTGCAGATAAAGAAGTAAGTTATAAACAGCACAAAATGGTATTTAATTTGAATTGTTAATAATTGTTATTAATTTGACTCACTGTGCATGATTGCATAAGCTAATATTTTTAAGGTAGACTTGTGTTTCTTCACATTTGGGGGGTAGGCAGAAACACAGAATTTTTGCTCAGGAAGGTCCCACACCTCTTTTCCTCTTTACCAGACCAAAACCTCAACCTCTATGAGATCTCATTACTTCCATTTCTGTGTACATAAGCTGGTGACAGAACAGAGGCTAATGATGTTTGCTAGAGTCAGCATGTTTGAAAAGGCCAAAATATCGAGTTTAATAAATACTATCTGTATTACCATATCTTTCAGGCTTCAGCTTCTGAAGAGTTGTATGATTTTGCTAAAGAGGTGTTGAAAGAGCTGAAAAAGAGAAGCCAGTATCTTGACTGCTTCTTAGAAAAAACAATGATCCCACATGCCAATGTAAGTATCAGCATTCTCTATATTTTATTTAATGTTGAGAGAATTTCTCAGCGTAGATGTTTTAAAAGTTTTTCAGAATCTGTGCTTTGAATTTTCAAATGAAAAAAGAATCTGCATTATGCCAAGCTGTCCAAGACACTAACATTAGGACGTTTTATTAAGAGGTTGAGTAAATCAGCAGTCAGCACCAAGTTTACAAAACACAGTGAGTTGCTCAGTTCTTGAGTTTGTTTTCAAGGCATAGCACTATTCACAGATACATATTTAATGGATTTCTTTAAATAATTAAAAAAAATTAAACATGTCCTGAAGAGATTTTGTTTTTATCAAATGGGTTGTGTTTTCATTCTTGCTTTTGTGGAAAGTCTGTCTTTATTTTGTAATCTCAGTGGATCATTGTTTTGAGAGTATACCTTTAAATACTGTTGATGATTATTTTGAGAACCTACGCTTAACTGCTGTGAAGTGTTTTAGAGTTGTAAAACTGTAACAACGTTGCTACTAGAATGACAGAAAAATTTATTTCAGCCTGTGAAGCAAAAGAGTGTCTGTTTGGAAGATCTGCTTTAGTAGTCAGTTACTGTGTGGAATGCTTTCACTAACTGCCTGCTACAGTCAAGAGGGCTTCATTTTTCTTCCCATTTCAGGAGGACTTTACCACTCTTGCCATGGATGGGATGTTACAAGATTCCATTGCTCCTGCTGTTCAAACGGAGAATCTCAGAGATAAGAGCAAAAGGACGGTAATGGGGCTGGATCCTGAAAAATTCCCGTTGTTAATTCCAAGCAAAATGGATACTTCAGCACTTCATGATTTGGCAATAAGTGTTATCCAAAATTTAGCTGGGTGAGTACTTGTTTGCCTAAAGGTATTTTTCTGTCCTTGTCTTAATTTATATTTTCTTTGCTCCATATATCACTTCTCTCCATGAGGCTCATGATACACTTCAAGGGGCTTCACAACAGTGCTTTAAAATTTATATTCAAGAAGCATATAAAGGTTTTCCTGAATTCATATTTTGCAGAATACCTAGTATATCCAGAACTATTGGATAGACTGTTAGTAGGTAGTACTACTACATACTTTCTGATCAGTCTGAATTTAAAAGTCATTCTAGCTGACACTGATTTCTTTTTAAAAACAAGATCTCTAACAGCAAAAGATATCCCCTTTTGAGTAATAAGTGACATCTATTTTATAGAACAATGATAAATTTTAGATGTAATGATTTAATTTTTACTTTAAAGGTGATCACCTCAAAAGGGGATTCCATGCTATATAGTCAACTGAAAACCATGCTTTGAAGAGTATGAAAAGTTTTTGATTTGCAAATAGTATTTTAATGCCGTTTTGCTTGTAGAAATTCCAAAATTTCAGGTAAAGAGTTAGTGAGTCCCATTAAAGTACTTCAATATACACTGCCGGTTGTAAAAGTAACCCTGACTATTAAATATGATCTCAGAAATTTAACCACACTTAGCTCATGGTAGGGATGGAGAACTTGCCAAGGTCTCTATATAATGTAGTATGTAGTATAGAACATAAACTAACGGGATATTCAGCAGCCCCTTATCTCCCTTTTTTGTTTTAGATTTGACCCGTCCAAACAATCTCCAGCCTTAAATCAAGAGGAAAATGATCACTCTCGTTCATTAGGACCAGGTGTGCCTGTATTTCTTTTAATATATTCTGTTCATCTAAACTGTAGTCCCTATCATTTTACTGCACAAGTCTAGCATGTTCCGGATCAGTGGCTTCCCCGCTAGTTCTGAGTGGTGCATTCCAGCTTTTTTCTTGGACATCTTTACTTTGCAATAGTAAGATGATTTTTGGCTCTTAAACCAATGAAAGCTGCAGAATGAGATAGTGTTATAAAGGGTATCTCTGTTTGTGATAGCAAAAGGGAAAAGTGATAAAGAATTGGAACAGAGGTCATGAAAATATGTAGGGAATCAGGGATACTTCTCAAAGTGTGTTATCAGCCACTTGAATGTGAGCACAGAGGTAATCCCAGGTGCTAACTATGCAGTGTTCTGATTTCCCCATCTCTCTTCTGCAGAGGTTGACTTCTCCAGCCATTTTCAAAGGTATTCTCTGTCTCTTCCAGATTTCAAAGTCCCTATCACAGCCAAGACTATGAATGTAGCCCGTTCATTCTCCTTATTCATGTTGTTCACATTCTCCTACCTTCACGTTGTTTTATATCTCCTCCTGTGTGTCCGTTTTCTGTGACATCCCCAGAACATAACCTTTATTGCTGTTACCACTTGTGGGTTACTTCAGTTACGATTGTTCCTGTAGTTGTGCCCTACGTATTGTAAGGAAAACAAGAACACAAAATTTATGTCCATATAAAAAATACTTCAATTGGCATTTATACAATATTCTTCATCTTTCCTTGTTAACTAAAAGCCATTCTTCCTCCAATAAAGAAGAAGGTATCCAACACAGCTCAGATCTCCAAGAAATCATCTTGGGATGAAATGAAGCCAAAAAAAAGGTGAGACCCCTGAAAGGAGGAATTCCACTTAAAATATTCCTATGCAGAAATTTAAGTAAACTTTGTGCCCTGCCTGTTCATTGAAAGATCTTAATGCTTTTTTGTAGGAACCTTTTTTCCATCTGTGATTGTCATTTGGGATCTCTGTTTATGTCCACATGATCAGCTTTGTTTTGTTGTTTGTTTTTTTTTTCCAGATTGTGGCTGGAAAAACATTTTTCTTTTTCTCCTTCATCTGCTACTGTTTTAGATTCTGAAGTTGTTGAACTACAGACTAACTCTTAAATCAATGTGGCTTAATTTTTGGGTGTGGCGTCTAAATAGTTTGTCTTCAGTGTAGTCCACAGATCAATGACATGAGCTACTGTAACAGTGAAAACAACAGAAAAGTTTAGAACAGCTGAGAGTTTAGAAGAGAATCCTGAGAATCTTTTTCTATCAAAAAATTATTTTCATATTGTGACTCAGGAATGGTATTCTGAATCTATTTAGTGTTCCCACTGAAACACTCCAAACTGTGCACCATTCACTCACTTCCCTCTCCTCCTCCCCTTGTGGTGGGCTGGCAAGGACAATGAGATAAGAAAACAAACGGCAACAATATGAATAACAAAGTATACAAGAAAGGCGAAGGATTCACAGGTGATGCTCACCACAAGGAAAGCCCCGACAATACCCCTTTCCCTGCCCCTGGCAATCACAGGAGGTGGTACAGAATAACCTCCAGGTCCTGGCCATGCCGCCTCCTGGCTACTGCAAAAATTAACCCTGTCCTGACCAGAACCAGGACACACATAATACTAGTTTTAGAGTTATATTTTTATGATTTTTTTCTTCAGTCCCTCCCCAATCATCAGCCAGAGAAGCAAAACACTTGTGGATAGTATCAAATTAATGTTTTCCCTTCCTAGCGAAAAGAAAAGCTCCAAATCCATTGTCAAGGACAAGAGATACCAATTATTTGAAAAGAAGCCTACAATGTCTGAGTAAGTCATGTATTTGCAGAAAAAGAAGTTAATCTGAAAAAACCCTCTGTCTAATCTATGTATGTATGTATGTATGTATGTATGTATGTATGTATCTATCTATCTATCTATCTATCTATCTATCATTGTGACCTATAGAGTTCACGATTGAATTTTGAGATATTCAGCCTTGATATTTATTGGTCAAAGTGCTTACAGAACAGTTCCTTTTTGTAACATCCTAATAATGAAAATAAAAGGTCATCTGTTTTATTCTGTTTAATGTCTGAAATGGGAGGTCTCATTGGAGCCCATTTTGCACATTTACAAAAAGGGGGTGGGGAATGTGAAATAGCCTGTCTTTCCATTATTTTCACATCTGAGAAGACCAATAAATCTTATATGCTACATTCTTGTAGTCAATATTCCATTGTTAGAAATAAACATGGAGTAAACAGGTCCCATTCCCCTTCTCTAGGAAAATTATATCTGGGCAGCTGTACTCTACAGAACTGACATATTTTGTATGTGCCATGCAAAGCTATTCAAATTAACGCTTAAGATGTTTAAGCACTTGTGAATTTTTTTCCCTATTGTGTTTTAAAATAATTCCAGTAAACAGCTAGACCCGCCTTCAAATATTTCTGGTTTATCTACAATGCATGGCCAGCTCTTAAGGTAAGTTAGGCACAGAAAGTTGGCTAGGATTGCTTTTTGATGTGGCAGTGCTCTCTAGTGATCATTTACAATAGCTCCAAGTCCTGACTGCTTCTGAAGAGAACCAGTGCTGATGTGGGGGAGGGATCTTAGGCATTCTGAATATTTGTTTTTGTATACTCTGAAAAATGTATTAAAATTAACCTCAATGTAATATTTGAATAACAGTGAATATTACCAATGTGATCATTTTACAGTGTGATAGTATTTAAATTTTTTTTAAAATTTTGTTGGTTTTCAGTACTTTTAAGGGGATTATTATGAATATTCTCTGGACGGGTAGCAAAACCTTGCTTGGCCTTGGTGAGGTAAGAAAACCTTGTGTTCTTACATCACTGTTGCTTTCATAGGTCCCCTTCTGTGTCAGAGAAATAATTTGATTCTTTTCAATATTTTTCAGACCATCCAAAAATTTCCCTTCCTTTTCCTGCTGTTACATACTTAGATGTGAGTCATTTGAATGCGTTTTCTGGTTTTTTGTGCTCTTCTGTAGGATTTTTATGGAGTAAAGACAGCTCAGATGGGAATACCTAAAGATCTTCCAGAGACTTTTGAAGATTGGGCAGAAATGCTCAGACAGAAACTATTGTCGTACAAAAGGCAGGCAGATGATTACTACCATTTCTGTCTTAGAGGTAAATTCATTCATTTAAGACTTTTAATTTCTTGTGTATGTAGTTTTTTGATATGTAAGCTGAAAACTGCAGTGGCCAAGAATTAGGTCTTTGTCTTAATCCATCACACTCAGTGGAAAAAACTCCAGTTGATTTTACTGGAACTTGAGCCAATATTCTTTTAAAGTATTCTCAACTACAAAAATCATAGCAGAAGGGTGCTTGAGTAAGTTGAAAGACCTGTATAGGTCATATCTTTAAGCAAGTGTATGTTTCTCAAAGCATTGGACCTAAGGAAAGGAATGGTAGAGAGAGAATCTCTGAGAGAAAATTCCAGGCTATTTGACCCTTGCAGTGTGTATTCAACTGGACTGAGTGGGGTTTTTTTCCTTGCAATTAATAGTTCTGTGTCACACCCCCTATTTTTTCCCAAAAGAATTCCAGGATCAGCTGAAGTGGTTTGAGGAGGAGCTCTCTTCTGTCTCCCAGTTGGCAGTGGATAGTCTTTTAAAAGAACATGAGCAGAAACTCAGCACTTCCACTGGTCAGATTCAGCACCTCTTCAACAGACAGCTGGAGGAGTGGGAGAAGGTGAAGGTATCTATCATGGATCTATTTGAATGCTTCCAGTGTAAGCAATGCTAAATGCATCTGATGAAATTTTCTTTTTCTCATTCTTACTGTTTGCTTCATCAGTCCCTGCTGAGCTGAGGTGCAGTTTCTGTGTTTACAGTTAGTCTGGGTAATTCTCCTGGAAACTTTGTATTCCTTGAACTCAGTCCGTTTTCTCCCTTCTTCCAGCACTGGTCTGCCTTTTTCTTATCTTGTTAGCTCTGCCTGTAACCTTACACTTGGACTGTCAACTCTGCAAGGGCTGTGACCTTGTGGTAGGGCCATACAGGTCCCACTGTATGGGTGCACTCCTTTGTAGGAACTATGATATATGGATAATGAAATACTATTATTTACTATTATTCATAAAAGAGGCATGTTTTTTCCAGTAATGTCAGAACTCAGAACAGAATCATAATGGAGATCATGCAGAAGATGCTACAGTAATTTCAGGTTTTGTTGCTCTGAGTATGAAGTTAAATTTAGGAAAAAATTACAAATGTAGAGATATAAAAAGTATCTTCTTTACCACTTGGTAGGAGAGATGATTATTTACTGAAAACAAACCCTGAAATAGCTCTGTTTTCTTTGTCTTTCTGAATACTTTTATATAAAATGTTTTGCTTTTACTTCTTCCTTACTATGACTCAAAGTACATTATTTACTGAAGGCATTTCTTTCTTATGTATTTGCTTAAAGACTGTGCACCAGAGAAAATTACATTACTCCCTGGGACACCCAAACAACTCTCTTCAGCTGGAGGCTTTGTGCCAAAAGGAAATAAAAAGACAAAAAGCTCAAACTGATGGTGTTCATCTCAACACAAAGATGCTGCAGGTAATTGTAAAGCCCTTGCTTACTGTCAACTTAAATGTTGCATTTGGAAAGGAGAATGCATTTTGGGTACATTTTTCCTCCCCATCTAAAGGAAACTTGAAAACGTTTTCAGTTTGAGGCAATCCTGGTCATATATCATTTGACTTTTAAGTTTTGTATTATCAGCGTTAGATCAATATTGCCATGAGTACATATGCACTCATACATGTGTATAGATTTATTGTGGACCTGGCTGATCTTTCGGATCATTCATAGAGCATACTGGCTAAGAGCTTAACTGTAGGTAGGAGTGTTAGCTGCAGGGGTGACATCCTCTGGTTAATTCTCTTATTTGCAGACAACAGATGCCTGGAAGGGTTTTCTTCTCTGCGCATTTCATTAGTGCAAATAATTGACACTTTTCCACACAAGATTAAAAACTGGAATAAGCAGAATTTTTTTTTTTTTATTTTCTTCTCTCAGGAAACTTACTCCAAATTCTACACTGTCTGCACAGCATAGATATTTTTAATTCCAAAGTAACAGCTCCTTCTACTCATAACTCTGCATACAGACACAGAAACACAAATACCCTCTTTTAGGATAAGACCTGCCCAAAGCGCTTCCACCCAAAGTGCTCTTTGCTCTGGGAAGAAGGATGCATTTACAGACAGCTGTGTTTCTCAGGTTTAACACAAATATATAACTAATGGGTACCCATGCACAGAACTCTACAGTTTTGTGAACTTTAAACGATCAGGCAGTGTTAAGAATACTGCAGAGAGATGCTTTGAGACCCTTTTATGTGCAACTTCAAGCTTTGTTATGTGCACCTGCTGCAAAATGTCAAGGTTGGATACTTGTGTAGTTCTTTTGGAGCCAAATTAAAAGGACAGGAGATCAAATCATCAAAAGAATTTCTCTCACTTGTCTCCAATATGCTAACAGGACTGTGCTACTGAGTGTGCTCAGAGCTTTTTTTCTGCACTGGCTGCCCTCACTGAAAAGCTGCTCTTGGAATTAGATGAAACCATCACTGCTGGTGACATACAAGTAGCAGGTAAGTAAAGAAGAAATTGCTTGTTCAGGCCTTCTTTTCCTTTTCAAAGACTGCAGCAGACTGCCCCTAGGAAGAAGAGGCTTTTATATGCTGTAATATTTTAAATGGAAAGATTTGTATAATAAAGCACACAAAGCTATTTCTTGAAAGTGTAGAGTATCAAGCTGCATATAGTTACTCCAAAACAATCACGTTTCTGCCGTTGTTTTGCTTTTGCTGAGTAGATCTTCTGTTATCTCCCAGAAACTGAAATACCTAGAGAGAAGATGTCGACTTTAATCCATCGTAAGCAAGCTGGACTTCCTCTAGAAACCTCTAAAGTTCAACAGTTAATCAAACAAGGGAGGAGGTAATATTTGAAGATACTGAACACTGTTCTGTCTAATTTCTCTTCTCTAAATTGATAACAGGCACTGTCCTCATAGTTTTTTGCTGCACTTGATGAAGCTGCTGAACACTTACTGTAAGGCTCAGATACATGCAGGTACTCCAAAGATATCAGGCAGTGGAAGGATTTAGGAGAATTTATTTTCAAAAGTTAAGAACACTTAACATATCAGCACAAAACTGTACCGGGCCTAGGAAAAGACATGCCTCCTCTTCTTCTCAGGCTTTTTATTGTCCCCAGCACCCCCAGCCTTCAAATGTGTATGTGACAGCTTATCTTTTCTCATACCAGGAAGAGCTTCTCTGGAATGCAGAAAGAGAAGCGTTTAAAACTGTCACTGGGAAAGATGCCTCTTTCTGGGCAGGAAGGCTTTCTTAAATGAAAAATTTGGTAAAATCTTCTGGAAGGGTTTTCTACACTTACACTCTGCTCATCCTTCGTGATGTCATTGAACTAGTTATGGGGCAGTTTGGGTGGGTGGCGATTTTAAAGAAAGAATAGCAATGGATCCAAATAAAAGTGAGTTACATATTGTATTGCAAAACAATACAATGTCATGGCTATTACTATGCCACTTGCTAGCCACTAGTTATCAGTTCAGCACTTTCAGATCTATGAATATACTGTGTATTGTCATTCAGAAGATAGGAACTCAATACTGTGTAGACATCCTGAAGTTTTAAAAGAAAAGGTGGTTGTGCTAAACAAATTTTTAGTGTAAACCTTTTGTGGAGATTAAAAAAAAATAAAATTGATCCTTTGCACTTTAGCACAAGTAACAATAATTAGTATGATACATTCTCTTTTCTAAGTTTCTGTCTCTTGTGTTTTTTGGTTGGTTGGCTTGTTTTTTTAAAGAACTTGGCCAGGAATACCTAAGACTACTCTTCATGAAACTCCAGACTATGTTCTTTGCAGAGGAACTGCATCAGTTTCAACAGCTTGGACTACCCTGGGCCAACTTGCAGTGTTGGATGCAAGACAAGCTGCATACAAGGTGGGTCTGTGAGTGGGGCTGCTGCTGTTGGGAGGTAGTTTTTTTAAGAAGAAAATTACAGAATCTTATCTATGTGTAAGTTTTAACATACACAGTGTTTTCAGATTTTAAAGTGATATTATCCATGTGTAGAAGTCCTCTCATGTGTCCATTTCTTCGTGATATTGTCAGAAGCAGACAGGGTTGGTTTCTCAGGGAACCGTCTCATTCAGAGGTATGACATCACTTGTTGCAACAGAGAAGCATGGATAGTGTCAGAAACAGGGCACTGTATTCAACAGATCATAGTTACAAAAGCAGCTTCTGCTCCAATGCTGCTTCAGTGCTGCTTTCACTCACCTTTCTTTCTAAAGCCTACAGTTTAGCCTTAGATCACAACGGCTGATTTTTCAATAACAGGTAAAGGTCTATAAAATACTTCATACCTATCTTATATCCAGAATTATCACAAATCACTGTTTTCACCATAAAAATGATCACTCCTTCTTCACTGGGGCTGCTAGAAGAATGAACATGTTGCAGATATCTCTGACCCTCTGACTGGCACTGACGATCACTTGCAAAGCCGCAGTGCTTGTCAGTTAGAAGAATATTCTAATGTTAAATCATTTGGAAAGAAATGGTCAGTATTTATGCCTCTGACATGGATTAGTGAACTGAATTAACTTTTAAAAAATACATATTTTTAATAGGGAAATGTAAAATACAGTGTCGACAATGGCAAATGTCATCAAAACTATCAATTTGCATGAGTGTTTTATGTATCTGGTCCTGGAGCCCAAGCTCCTGGATGCAGAACAGCTTTGAAGGAACCTTTTATGTTGGATACAAAGGGTTGGATACATGTCACAGAAATATTTTCCTGCGTGTGTGTTGCATTAAAAATACAGTATTTTGTGTTTTGAAGCATGGACACTTTAATACAGGGCCTTTGAAGTTTTCATAGTAGACTACAAGTTTCTGTTTAGATGAAATACCTTTAGCAGCTTGGTAATAATTCAGGTCATCCTTCTGGGTTAAGAAGTTCCAGCAAGAGCCCAAGTGCATCCCATGTTGGAGATGCGTGCTTGGGTCTCGAGGGTAGGCAATGTTCTAATCTTGGGAGCTAATGGAAGTGAGATGAAGACCTTGCACTTCTGCAAAATTTAAATATTGCTGATAATTTAGTTCCAGAAGTCTTTAAAAGGAGCACAGAAGGGACACGGTGAATAATTAATTATTCATATATTGTCAAAGGTAGAAAATAAGTGGCCTCTATGCAGTCTTCTGGCACAGTGGATCAGGACCTGGATTTAGGCAAAGTAAATTTATATTTTGTCACTACCAATTTTGTCCTTAATTGTTTTTTCTACAGAAATACAAATGTAAGCTTGAGCAGCTGTTTGCCCAGATCAAAGAAGAAAGTGCAGCTCAGCTGCTGGCAATTCAGCGTTGGGAAGATTGGTGGGAACAATCCATCCAAAAGATAAAGCAGCTCTACCTCTGAGATCAGTCAATTCTTGCTGAATCTTTCTTTGTTGGTGTAAATTGACAAGTTTGTACTAATGTCATCAGTGTTACAGAGTTAGTCCAATACAGTTTTTTCTTTTATCCTACTAATCTGCTGCATTGAAAGAAGCTAATTTTTACCTTTTTGCATTGTGTTACCACTATTGTTTCCTCATATGTAATTTTAAGACAATTCATATACTCATCTTTACAATTTACATAATCTCTTGGTTTGGCTACAGTATCATCTGTTACTATTTGCTTATGAGTATTTGTGCACACAAATCCTTTGTGCAGGGGATCTTAATGCATATGTATTAGCTGAGTTTGTTTTGTTGCAATTTTGTTACTTTGAGTTGGTTTGGTCCGAAAACTTTGCAAGGCATGGATGAAAACTATCCCCAACCCTTGTATCAAGGCCTCTGTGCCCGAGCACCTCTGCATGGAGATCTCTGATTGGAGATGGCCAACCTGAAAAAGAAATACATTAGGTTGTCTTGGTTCAACAAGCCTTGCCTTGCCAAGCCTGCCTCTCCCATGGCTTTCCTTGCCACTCCTGCTTCTCCCATGTGTCGCTGACCATTACCCACCCCTTCTTTCATTGCCATCCCTTGCCTGCCCCTACCTTACCTTACCTTGCCTTGCCTTACCCCTCTCTTGCCTCTCCCTTGCTCTTCCTTTCCTTGCATTGCCTTCTTTACCCTTCCTTTGCCCCTCTCTTTCCTTCCCTTGTCTCTCTGCTGCCTTGCCCCTCTCTTGCACCTTCCATTCCCCTCTCTTGCCTTGCATTGACTTGCCCCTCCAGTGCCCCTCCCATGCCTCTCTTTTTCCCCTCCCTACCTTGGCTTTGCCCTGCCTTGCCTTGCCCCTCCAGTGCCCCTCCCATGCCTCTCTTTTTCCCCTCCCTACCTTGGCTTTGCCCTGCCTTGCCTTGCCCCTCCATTGCCTCTTCCCTTGCCTTGCCCTCCCATGCCTTGCCCCTCCCTTGTCCCTTCCCATTCTTTTCATTTTCTTGCCCCTGCCTTGCCCCTCTCTTTCCCCTCCTTTGACCCTCTGTGGCCTTGCAATGACTTGGCCCTCCTATGCTGCTCCATTGCCTTTCCCTTTCTGCTTCCTTGCTTTGGCCCTCCTTGCCCTTGCCTTGGCCCTTTCTTGCCTTGCTTTACCTTGCCTTGCCTTGCTCCTCTCTTTCCTCTCCCATGTTTTGCCCCTATCTTGGCCCTCCCACACCTTGCCCCTCCACTGCCTCTCTGTTGCCCCTCCCTTTCCTTGCCTTCCCTTGCTCCTCTCTTTCCCCTCCATTTCCGCTTTCTTGCCTTGTATTGACTTGCTCCTCCTATGCCCTTTCCTTCCCTCTCCCTTTTCCCTCCCTTGCCTTGCTTTTCCTTGCCTTGACTTGCTTTACCTTACTCCTCCTTTGCCTTACCCCTCCCTTGCCTTGCTTTGCCCCTGCCTTGTCTTGCCATACCTCACCTTGTGTCTTGCCTTGCCTTTCCTTTTCTTGCCTTTCCTCACCTTGCCTTTCCTCACCTTGCCTTGCCTTTCCTTGCTCCTCCCTTTCCTTATTTTGCCTTGCTTCTCCCTTGACCTTCCTTGCCTTGCCCCTCCTTGTGTTATGATCTAGTTGGTGAGAGGTGCCTCTGCCCAAATTAGGCTGCAAATGAGACCATGTGCCAAAGCCAGTAATACAAATCTTATTTAAGAGTAAATATGAGGTAGAGAGATAGAAAGAAATAGAAAAGAGTAGGAGGAGAGAGACAGAGGGAGACAGATCCTTCTTCACCCTGGGCTTCTTGGTGGTGGGGGTCCCAAGGATTATTCAAAACTTTTCACTATTTATACATTTTAGCAAACAAAGGAAGTAATGCTTATTGGCCACACAGTTCTCCTATTGGTTAAATGATTCCCTTGCTTCTAATGCTATTTAGTTGGCATGCTCAGGCTTCTGAGTCGATGGGTTTCTTGGGTTGGTGGTCACAATCTCCCCGTGGCGGAATTACCTTTTACCCAGTGGGAGCTGATTTCAGTGTAGTAGTTGAGACGGCTTTCCTAGTGTCCCATAAATTCTGCACTCCTTGTGTGCATTATCAGTGATCTCCTTCTCTCCCCAAGCTCCATCAGCTTGCCCCTAAGTCTGAGGCAACACTCGGATAACAGTACCACCTTTATTATTTCTTAGCTCACATTCCCACTGTGGGTGGCTTATCAATGGAGGTGTATTTGGGAGGCTTGAGTGGTCGTTAGCGGTTGCAGATGCCAGCTGTCCCATTACTCGGGGTCATCTTTGTTTGACCAATGATATGCATACGAGCACTTTGCAACAGTGGCAATTTGCAACAATTTTTTCTGGATGCATTACCCAGAACGTACTAACCAGATCTTGCCTCTGCCAGGTGTGGAGTTAGTGCCACCCTGTCACTCCATTCTGTGCTTATCTCATGGCAGAGTCCCTCGGTGGCCTTAACAGTGTTTGAGACAGGCAGCTGTACACTGTAAGTCCTTACACCTTGCCTGTCCTTTCTACTCCCTTGCCTTACCTTGCTCTTCCCTTGTCTTGCCCCTCCATTGTCTTGTCTCTCAGTTGTCTCGCCTTGGCCCTTCTTTGCCTTGTCTTGCTTTGCCTACCCTTGCCTTTCCTTGCCTACCCCTCCCATGCCTTCCCTTGCTTCTCCTACTTCTTCCTTGTGTTGCCTACTCTTGCCCACCCCTTCCTTTCATTGCCGTGCCTTGCCTGCCCCTCCCCATCTTTGTTTTGCCCTTCCCTTGCCTTGCCTTGTCCCTCTCTTGCCTTCCTTTGCCCGCCTCTCTTCTCTTGCATTACCTTACCTGTCTCTCCCTTTCTTTGCCGTGCTTTACCTACTGCTGCCTTGCTTTGCCTTGCATACATATCCCTTGCCTTGCCTACTGTCACAGGTTTACCTGTTCTAAAAAACCAGACAGGGAGTTTTTCTTTCCCTTGCATCACTGTAAGGGGATGATCGTTAGAACTGTTAGAACTGGGGAGCTGCGGTAAGCCTGGAGGGCTCGGGAGAGTTTAGCGGGGGGGTTCGAGGGTTCCCGAAGGGCGGAGCGCGGCGATTGAAACTCTCCCGGGGGAGGGGAGAAAGGGGGGGCTCTTCCAGCGATATGGCTTAAATGCACAGGCGCGCCGGCCATGAGGGAACTGCAACCCCCATGAGGCTTTGCGCAGCACCGCCATTCCTTCTGCAGCCACAGCGCCCCCTGCCGGCCCGGCGAACCGAGGGCAGGAAAGGGGGTGCTGGTGCCCCCCCCTTCGAGCCCCAGAGACCCCCAAAACTCATCACACAGAGACGCCATAGGGAGGGGGGGTCAGAGGGTCCCCTAAAGTCCAGTAATGGGGTTCAGAGGGTCCCCCAGCTCCCAGGGAAGGGGTCTTATGGGTGCCACCCGAAGTCTAGGGGGTCGATGTACCACATTCAGGTAATGGGGGCCCAGCGCCCCCAGTGTAGCCCAGTGACCTCCCACTGCCCCCCAGTATGGCAGGGACCCCAGAGAGGGGAGACCCCAAATACACACGGGACTCCCAGCAGCCCAAACAGGGGGACCCCCAGAATCCCAAAGTGGAGAGACCAGAGAGGAGGAGCTCCTGGCTGGGGATTTTTGGGCTGAATCTTGGTGTTTTGGAGGTTTTTATGGTCCCAGGATGCCCGGTGAGTTCTTGAGATGGACTTGGGCAGGAGGAACCCCCAAGGAAACGCACTCAGCCATTGTTTCCCCCCAGCAGGATTTGTCCTTCCCAAAGCTTGGGCAGATGGAGGAGGAGAAACCTGTGGGCCCCCCAGGCAGGTGAGGAGGAAGTCAGTGCCCCTTTGGCCCTGTCTTGTGGTGCCTGTGGGGGCCAAATCTGGGGGAGATGTCTTAGACCTTCCTTCTGGGCCGGAGGCAAATCCCCTGCCTGTCCTTCCTTCCTGCCCCAGACCCCGAGCTGAGGACGGAGAGCACGGAGGACAAATCCCCCCGGCAGAGCCTGGTGGGAGAGGCCGTTTTGAAGGGCTCCCCGGCGCAGGAAGGCAGCGGGGAGGAAAAGGCCCGGAGATGCCCCCGGAGGAGGGGCTGCAAAGCCAGCCCAGGGAGTTCTGAGGAGGAAAGACCCGTCCTGTGCCAGGAAGGCGGCCAGAGCTTGAGCCAGAGCTCTGAGCTGGTGGTCCCTGAGCAGCCTCCCAGCAGGGAGAAGCCCTTCAGGTGCTTGGAATGTGGGAAGAGCTTCAGGAAGAGTACCTGCCTCCTCAGGCACCAGCACATCCACACTGGGGAATGGCCCTACACATGTAGGGAATGTGGAAAGAGCTTCAGACACAGCTTCACCCTTATCCAACACCAGCACATCCACACTGGGGAACGGCCCTTTAAGTGTGGGGAATGTGGAAAGAGCTTCATGACTAGCTCCAACCTCCGCACCCACCAGCGCATCCACACTGGGGAACGGCCCTACAAGCGCTTGGAATGTGGGAAGAGGTTCCAGACCAGCTCCAGTCTCCTCAGGCATGAGCAGACACACACTATGGAGAGGCCCTTCCGCTGCACCGACTGCGGGAAGGGCTTCAAAGAGAACGACACCCTCGTCACCCACCGACACATTCACACTGGGGAGAGGCCCTTCAAGTGTGGGGAGTGTAGGAAGAAATTCACCCAGAGCTCCAACTTGACCAAACACCAGTGGACCCACCAATAAGGAAAGACCTACGAGTGCCCCAACTGCAGGAAGAGCTTCAGCCGCAACGGGATTAATGGACTCTGAGGGCAGTGACATTGGCCAGCTCCCTGTGCCCAGATGGCTCTGGTGAGGGAGCACTGCCATGGTGGGCACAGCATCCCAGAATGATGGAATACCAGAACAGTTTGGGTTGGAAGGGATCTTTCAAGGCCATCTAGTCCAGGGTCCCTGCCATGAGCAGGAACACCTTTCGCTAGACCAGGTTCCAAATGTCACTCTGAGTGGGGGCCATGGGCCAGTGCCCGCTGCCAGCAGCAGCAACCCGGGCAGGGCAAGGATCCCTCGCTGGGCTTTGGGCTCTCCAACGGCCCAGGGCAGTGCCCTGGGGATGGGAACCCAGAGTGCTTGGAGCTTCAAAGCCTTAAACATCAGCCCCTGCAGCTCCAAAACCTTCTCCCCACATGCTGCCTCCAGCAATTCCCAAGGCTCTCATGGCCAAGGGGGCATCCCTTGGGATTTGGCCTCCCTGCGGCCTGATCCCGGCTCTGGGCCCAGGAGTGCCTTTGGCTGCAGCAGGAAGGGCAGCAGGAGGTTTTCTGCCTGCTTTGGGGCAGCTGCAGGGGCCGCTCATGTCACCCCCCCTCTGTGCTGGGGACAGCTTTGCTCTTGGGGACACCGCTCTGCCCCAGCCCAGCAGCACCAGCAGTGCCCAGGGCCGGCACCTTCCCAAGGTGGGACCCCTCTGTGCACAGGGACCCCCAGCCCGGGGGGGCCGTGCCAGCACCCCCAGACAATGTAGTTACAGAAGGACAACAAAACAACAACACATTAAACCTCGATAAATAATGTATTTACATTATAAGAATCTTAAAAGGAACAATAGTGTTCTTTATAAAAGTAAGAATCTTCTTAATAAAAACAACTATCTTCTAAATAAAACATCTTCTTAATACAAAGACTATCTTCTTAAAAACACCTCCCTTCTTAAAAAAAAGTTCTTCTAAATAAAACCACAATCTTACTAAAAGACTATCTTCTTTATAAAAACAACTTCTTAATAAAAAATTAAATCTTCCTAATTAAAATCTATCTTCTTATTTTAAAAAATCTTTTTCTGAGAAAAACAATTATCTTCTCTTGAAAACAACTACCTTCTCTCTAAAAGGAACTATTTTCCTAAAGAATCAAAACCAGAAAATGTATGTAGAGAAAAACAGGAAACAAGGTGGAGAACATTTGTACAAGTGGTCTTCACCGGGAGGAGGGTGCACATCCTGCTGGGATTGATCACAAGATCCAGACTGCAGGCAGAGTCAGGACTGAAGGATGTCACAGGGAGCAGGTGGGGACACTCCACAGGGAGCAGGGTGAAGGGTGTTCCTCCAAAAAAAGTTGGTCAGGGCAGAGGGAGCGCTCGGAGCTGCTGACCCTTTGCTGGCAGCAGGGGAATGGCTGCGCTGTGCTCGTCGCTGGGCACTGGCACTTCCACATGGAACACGGGACAGCTCTGGCAGCTGGGATGTCACAGGAGCTGTGGGGCCACTCCACAGGGGGGGATGGGGATCATGGAATGATGGAATCCTTGAATGGACTGGCTTGGGAGGGACCCTACAAATCACCTTGTTCCAACCTGATCAGGTTGCTCAGGGCCCCGTCCAACCTGGCCTTGAATGTTCCCAGGGATGGGGCATCCACAGCCCCTCTGCACAGCCCCTGCCAGGGCCTCACCACCCTCACAGGAAACAATACAGCCCTAACATCCAATCTAACCCTCCTCTCTAGTAGTTTGAGCCCATTCCCCCTTGTCCTGTCACTGCAGTTCCTGACCAAGAGTCCCCCTCCGGCTTCCTTGGAGGCCCCTTCACCCACGGGAAGGTTTCTCCGAGGTCTCCACACAACCTTCTCTTCTCCAGGCTGGACAGCCCCAGCTTTCCCAGCCTGTCTGCAGAGGGGAGGTGCTCGAGTCCCCTGAGCCCCTTGGGGGCCTCCTCTGGCCTCGCTCCAACAGTTCCTGGCCTTGTTGTGTCAGGACCCCAGAGCTGGAGGCCGCACTGCAGGTGGGGTGTGCTGAGAGCAGAGCAGAGCGACAGAACCCCCCCTGCCCTGCTGCCCCCAGGGCTGGGGATGAGCCCAGGACAGGGGGGTTTCTGGGCTGAGAGGGCACGATCTGTGGGCCTGGATAACAATGGTAACCTGTGAGATGTCTTACACAAGGACAACAAAATGCCAACATATAAGGCATATATATAAAATTTATTTTTTATTATAAAAATTTTCTTTTAAAAACAGTATTGTTCTTTAAAAAAACAAGTCTTAATGACAATAATCTTCTTATTAAAAGCAACTATCTTCTAAATAAAAAACTATATTCTTATAAAAACCTATCTTCATAAAAAACCTATTTCAAAATAAAACAATTATTTTCTTTATAAAACCAACAATCTTATTAAAATACCAAAAATATAAAACATATGTACAAAACCAGGAACAACATTGTCCCAGTTTAAATGAGACAAGGGTCTTTTGCTGAGGATGAATTAGGAGGAAAAGACCCAAACTTCTCTTTCCAATTATAAATCCAAAATTAAGAGGCTCCGATTGAAGGAAAACAAATTATGGAAAAGGGAAAATAACAGCCCTTTATTAAAAGGTATGTGTGTATTAACAGGAACACGGGAAAAATAAAAAAAAACCCCAAGTGAAATAACTAAGTAATACTCCTATACCCACCAATAATCCCCTTTAAGAACAAAACCGATAAACCGGCAAAAAGAAAATAGTTCAATTTCTTGCACCCTTTGGTGCAGTTCCAACCACAGTCAGCAGGGGGCGCCGTCGGGTCACTGGAGATGCAAAATTTGTAATGTCCTGTACCATTCACCAGGTGGCGCTGTTGGGTCACTGAAGGTGTCAAAAACTTGTAGTGTCCTATTGTAGTCACCAGGTGGCGCTGTTGGATCACGGGAGGAGTAGAACTTGTAATGTCCAGTGCCCGTCACCAGGTGGCGCTGTTGGATCCTTGGCTGCCACCGGGAGGGGGGAAGGGGAAGACAACAGCAATAAAACAGAAAGTTCTCCCAATGGAAGAAAACTCACAAACTTCAGCTGATTAGGGTCCGTTGTAAACAGGGCTTGCAGTCAGCCGGAGGTGAGCCAAGAGCAGCAGCCAGAAACTCCCCTCCGACAGGAAAAAAAAAAAAAAAAAAGGAGCCCGGCAGTGTCTGCAGCCCGCAGCAGCCTCTCCCCCCGGCAGCGAGAGAGAGCCAGAGTCTCCTCCCCCCCCAGCCTCCACCCCCTTCCAGTCACACATCAGCCAACTCCCCCCTTCGTTGTCAGGGCAACTAATCTCCATCATTAAGGGCTTCTTTTGTTCAACTAATTGGCCCATCACAGAGCACACACACACGGCAGGAGGAAAGGAAAGAAAAATTCCTTGCTAAAGAATACGAACTATGACAAACATGTAAAACATATATCTAACGTGGCCCATTCCATGGCCGGCCTGTCCGTCGGTCCTGGAAGAAAAGCAAGGGCACGATCAGTGCAGTCGGGCCCTGCTGGGTGTTCCCTGTGCCCCCAGCCTGGCACACGCTGGGCACAGTGGGACTCTGGCACCAGGCCTGAGCCTGGCTGGGGATGGGAGCCGGGTCCCAGGCATTGGCACATGGTTTGTATGGCCCAAAGCAGGCGCAGGGCAGGCCGGGGGTGGGGGTTATGCCACCAGAATCCCGGGCACGGGGCACCGTGTCCCTGAGCGGGGCCACCCAGCCCAGCCCCAGCCTGGTGGCAGTGACCCCGTGTCCCTGGGGCAGGGCATGGCCAGGACGGGCCTGTCCTGCTTCTGGGGGTTTTCATCCCAGCACCATGTCCTCCTCCTCATCTTCCTGCTCAAGATCCATCTCCTCCTCTGTGTCCTCCTCCAGATCTGTCTCCATCTCTTCCTGCACATCCTCTTCCAGATCCATCTCCATCCTTTCCTCACTATCCAATCCCATATCAGATTTCCATCTCCTCTCCCGTGTCTCTCTCAGCTGCATCAGGAGGCACAATCTCAGAATGGGGTCCCTGTCCCACACCATCCCCACAGAGCTCCAGCCCCCCGGGCAGTCGAGGGGTGCCCACCTGCATGGAACGGCCCCGTACCTTCCTCAGGACAAGAGGGAGCATCCTGCTGGGATGGGGGACTGCTGGGGATTGAAGGGAGCAGGGCAGGACAGTGTGCTGGGAGCAGGAGGAAGGGTGGTCTCTGAGCAGGGGGAAGGGCTGTCTCAGAGCACAGCCAGGGTTGGTCAGGGCAGAGGCTGCACTGGGAGCTGCACAAAGGTGTGATGGCAGCAGGGGAATGGCTGCGCTGTGCTCGGTGCTGGGTGCTGGCCATTCCACATGGAACACGGGCACAGCTCTGGCAGCTGGGATGTCACAGGAGTTGTGGGGATGGGGACCAGAGAATGATGGAATCCTCTAATGATTTGCCTTGGAAGGGACCCTAAAAATCATCTCCTTCCAGCCTGAGCAACCTCCCACCACCCCAGATTGCTGAGGGCTCCGTCCAACCGGTCCTTCAACATTCCCAGGGATGGAGCCTCTCAGGCGCTGCCTGTGCCAGTCTCCTCCAGCCTCCCTGGAAGAAAACATCTCCCTCAGATCCAACCTAAATCGCCCTCCTTCAGTTCAAGCCGTGCCCCCTTGTCCTCTCCCCACAGGCCCTGCTGAACACTCTGTCCCAGCTTTCCTCTGGGCCCCTTCAGCTCCTGCCCGGCCACACTGAGGCCTCCCCGGGGCCTTCTCTTCTCCCGCCTCAGCAACCCCAACTCTGGCAGCCTTTCCTCAGGGCACAGGGGCTCCAGCCCTCGCAGCACCTCGCAGGCCTCCTCTGCACTCTCTCAGCAGCTCCATGTGCTGCCTGTGCTGAGCACTCAGTGCTGGAGGCTGCGATGAGCCCTGCAGGGGCTGCAGCTTCCTGGGGAACAGTGGGGAATGGGGGGTTACCCCTGCAGAGGAAGCAAACTCACTTTTGTGCTTAGAGAAAGGGAGGCAGATGCTGCTGGTTCTTTCTGGAGTGTGCAGGGACGTGTCAGGAGCAGGTCCTGTCTGTCCCTGTCCCAGTACACAGCCCAGAGCAGCTCCATGGGGTGCCTGGGCTGGGCCACAGGTCCATCCCCCAGCTCAGCTCAGAGATCCCTGTGTTCCAACAAGCACAGGTTCCAAAGCAAACCCTCAGAAGAGGCTCTCCTCATAAAGGCCATGTCCTCATAAACCCCATAAACGTTGCTGCCTAAAAGGCTGAAGAGGAAAAAAGACTCCAGGCCCAACGAGGCAGGAGGTCAGAGGAGCAGCAGAGGTTTCCATGAGCCTCCAGGCTCCAGGAATACAAACCCACCCACGTCCCTTCCAACGCAGGGGTTACAGTTTTTATAATGATTTCCACCCAATGGCCGTCCCGTCTCCTCCCCGGTTCTGCCCCGCTCTGCCCCAGGAACGCCCGTGGGGAATTGAGTCTGGGGGAGTTTGGAGCTTTGAGCCGCTGCAACTACAACTCCCGGCGTGCCCCACGCGGTAAAGGGGGCGGGACGGGGGCGCAGTGTTGGCTGCCGGGCAAAGATGGCGGAGGCGCTGGTGAGACCTGGCGGGGGCTGCGGCGGGGCTGGGGATGCGCTCGGGGGCTGCGGGGAGCGCGGCTGTGGGCGGGAAGGCTGCTCTCGGGGAGTCGCGGAAGGGATTTGGTGTCCTGAGGGCGCTCAGAGGGGAGGGTGAAGGTGCCTGAAGGGGTTTAGGAGGTACCTCAAAGGGCTGGGGGCCTCGGAACCCTCCCGGGGAAGGATGGGGGGAGGGGGAGGGGCCTGGTAAACGCCATGGCTGCACTGCGCAGGCGCCGGCGGAGTTTCCACGAAGGAACTTCAACTCCCATAAGGTTTCGCGCGGCGCCGCCATTGCCGCTCGTGCCACAGCGCCCCCTGTCGGCTGGGCGGACCGACTGCAGGGAAAGGGAATCTTAATGACCCCCCGAACCTCAGAGATCCCCAAAACTCAACACACAGAGACCCCACAGGGGGGGGATCCAGGGGGTCCCCAGAAGCCAATTAGTGGGGTTCAAGGGGTCTCCCAGCCCTCAGGGGAGGGGTCCTAGGGGTGCCACCCACAGTCTTGTGGGGGTGCCCCCCCAGTGTCCCCAGTATAGCCCAGTGACCTCCCAGTGGCTCTCAATATGGCCCAGTAACCCCCTCCCAGTGACCACGCAGTGTTTCCCAGTGATCTCCCACTACCCCTCACTATTGCCAATGATCCTGCAGTGAGAACCCAGTAACCCCCAGTAAGGCCCAGTAACCTCCCAGTGTCCCCCATGTGTCCTGGTAATCCCTCAGTAATCACCCAGTCACTCCCAGTGCCCTCCCAACATCCTTCAATAAACCCCCAGTTCCTCCCAGTGCCCCCTGGGTCCCCGCAATGTGTCCCAATATCTCCCAGTAATCACCCAGTGCCCCCCAAAGCCCCCCCCAAGTGTCCCCAATATGTCCCCAGAGGCCCTTGGGCTTTCTGTGAGTGTGGGGGAACGGGGACATTTTGGGGGTCAGAGGGTGCAGGCGGGCCTTCTGGGGGAAGATGGAGAGTTGTGGACATCAGGGATGGGGTTTGGGTACAGTGGGGAAGGGTTTGGGGACAGTGGAATGGGGGGTGTCAAGGGGGGAATTGGGGCCATGGGAAGGCCCTGGGGACACTAAAGACACTAGGGGGTTCTCGGGGTGCCAAGTGAGAAAGGTGCCAAGCAGGAAGGTCTTGGGGACACCAGGGAGGTCTCAGGACTCACCTGCTTGTGGTGCTGCCCCTCTTGTTCCCCCAGGCCCCAATAAGGCCCCTCAAATGTCCCCTAACCCCCATTTTTCCTTTAATCACCTCCCTCTCCAGGATGCCTTTTACCCCCCAATGCCCCCAAGACCCCCCAGATCCCAATCCACCCACCCCCCACCCCCCAAAGAGGGATCACCTGGCACCCTGGGACAGGAACACAGTGGGCTGGACTGGGGGCACTGGACTGTACTGGGAGATCCCTAATCCCCAAAGCCCTTCCCCTGGGCATCCGTGCCACGGTCTGGGAACCACGGCGGGGTCGGATCAAGGGGTGCACTTGATGATCTGGGAGGTCTTTTCCAAGCCGGTTGATTCTGGAATTCTCTGGTTGCCATTGCCAGGGCAGCACATGCTGGAGGCTCTGTCCAAAGGGATAGATGTGTCTGTGCAGACAGAGAGACAAGGTCAGTCTGCAAAGATGTGGGGTTAGAAAAGCAGGAGAAGTTGTGGGGTGGTTCTGGCAGGAGAAAGAAGCCCCCAGGCCAGTGCAAGCAGGCCCCCCTGGGCTTGCACATCATCTGCCCTCCCTGCAGGTTCCTGTGCTGGAGAGCAGGCCCTGAGAAGAAGTGGAAGGCAGAGGTGGTGCTGAGGCAGGAGAGCCCCGTGCTGGGGAAGAGGCTGAGCTGGGAGTGCCCAGCAGCGAGAAGGTGCTGTGTGCATGCCCTGTGTGCCAGGTGAGCTGGGGCTTTGCTGCAGAGCTGCGGGCACTGATTGGAGCGGCTGCAGCTGCTGAGCTGGTGGCACCCAGGAACACAAAGTGTGCCCAGCCACGGAGCCTGCAGGGAGAAGCAGGGACAGGGTCAGGGCCACTGTCAGCCCGGGGCTGGCTGGGCAGACACAGCAGGTTTGGGGTCCCCCTGGGAGCTGCCGAGGGTGGAGGGCGGAGCGGGCGATGCCGGAGCTGGGGGACCCCCAGCAGGCTGGAGGGGGGAGCATGGAGAGGGAGGAGCCCCAGGACCCCCGGGAGCCTGAAACGGGGGGAGCGGAGAAGGGGAAGCCTGGAGACTGGGGACCCCTGGGATCCCCAGGACAACGAGGTGGAGAACCTGGAGAGGGGGAATGTCTGGGAAGGTGACACCCCAAAGATGAGAGTCAAAGGAGAAGGGACCCTTGGGACCCCCAACACTCCAAGTATCCCTAAGTTTGGAGACCCCCAAATCCCAGAGCTGAGAGACCAGAGAGGGGAAACACCTGGGAGAGTTTTTTTGGCATGAATCTTCATATTTTTAGGATGATCCTGAACTTTTTGTAATGTGAGGAGAGGTGTCCATCCCACTATTTCTGAGGGATTTTTTTCCTGAATGTTGGTGGTTTGGGTTTTTTTTGGGCTGAATCGTGATATTTTGGAGGTTTTTATGGTTTCAGGATGCCCCATGAGTTCTAGAGATGGACTTGGGCAGGAGGAACCCCCAAATCAACGCGCTCAGCCCTTGTTTCCCCCCAGCAGGATTTGTCCTTCCCAAAGCTTGGGTGGATGGAGGAGGAGGCTGAAAGGAAGAGGAAGTTGCCGTGGGCCCCCCAGGCAGATCAGGAGGAAGTCAGTGCCCCTTTGGCCCTGTCGTGTCGTGTATCTATTGAGCAGCCTCCCAGCAGGGACAAGCCCTTCAGGTGCTTGGAATGTGGGAAGCGCTTCAGCTGCAACTTCAACCTGATCCGACACCAGCACGTCCACACTGGGGCACGACCCTACACGTGTAGGGAATGTGGGAAGAGCTTCTGTGACAGCTCCTCCCTGATCAAACACCAGCACATCCACACTGGGGAAAGACCCTTCAAGTGTGGGGAGTGTGGGAAGAGCTTCAGTGACAGTTCCACCCTCCGCACCCACCAGCTCATCCACACTGGGGAACGGCCCTACAAGTGCTTGGAATGTGGGAAGAGGTTTCAGACCAGCTCAACTCTCCTCCTGCACCAGCGGGCACACACAGGGGAGAGGCCCTTCCGCTGCACCGACTGCGGGAAGGGCTTCAACCTGAACTCCGCCCTCATCAAACACCGGCGCATCCACACATGGGAGAGGCCCTACAAGTGTGGGGAGTGTGGGAAGAGCTTCACCCAGAGCTCTGACTTGACCAGACACCAACAGACCCACCGGTAAGAGAAGCCCTTCGAGTGCCCCGACTGCAGGAAGAGCTTTGACCACTGCTCTCACCCCAAGTGACCCCCCTGATGGTGAGGCAACCCCTGGAGTCCAGTGACTGTCAGTCCATCTCTTTCTACCAGAAAGGGCCAGTCCCCTTTGCCAGGGAAAGGTTCTGCCAACACAACCCTTCTTGGGGGGTGTGTGGAGATTCCTGCCTTGGCTGGGACCCCCCAAGGTCAATGCTGGAGGTTGAGGGCAGAGATCTCCCCACGAGCATTGTTCTGGGGGAGTTCAATCCATCTCTAATTAATAATTCTTGCTTGAGTGGAATTGCTTCAACAATTGCTTTAGTGTAGAACACTGTCCTATCTTATGCTGTCCTACTGGTAGTTTTAGTGTTTCTATTGTGCAGTAAATAATTCTGATGAAGATCTTTTGTCTGATCATTTGTAACCCTAAATAATTAATTTCTTTCAATAGATCTGATTTGCCATGATTAAAACCTGGGGGACAAAAGTGGTTCAGTCCCACCTCTGTAATTCCTCTAAACTGTTGACATAACACAGCGGCCCCCACCACCCCACAGTAATTTGGGAGCTCAGGGGCACCACCCCCCTTTCCCAGGCCCCCTGTGCCCAAAGACCCCCACGGGACCATCAGACCTGCCAGACCATACCCTTTTCCACCCTTCTCCCTGTTCCTCCCACTTTTCCATGGTCCCCTGTTATAATCTGCTTAAATATTGCAGAAAGAACTTCAGATTTGAATATTGCCTTAAGCAAAACTAAAACTCACAGAAGTTATCTGTTGATACCAAAACCTGATTTTGTTGATTGCAAAGAGATACAAAGAGAAAGGAAAAAATACAAAAAGTTTGGAAACTGCTAAGATTACTCCTAGAAGCAGAGAAAAGATGCCACTGAAAAGTACCTTTTCCCACTGAACTGGTGTGTGTGGCAGAGGAGAAGCAGTTTCTGCCTTTTTTTCTCTGTCCCTGCAGCTTTTGGATGTTGTCTCTGTAGCTGCAGGGGGTCTGACAGCTTTAGTTCTCTGCAATGCACCTTGTGTGGTTTCACCGCTCACACCCCTGTCCCAGGCCGTGCAGGGTCTCAGCTCAGCCAAAGCTTTGGACCCTCAGAAATATGGTCAGGGTAGAAGGATAAGGTAGAACTCCCACATGTGGCACGGTGGTCTCAGCTCTCTCCAGACCAGCACAGTTCCTGTCTCCGGTGGCAGGCAGGCAGCACGCAGTGGCAGAGAAAAGGTGAGGGCAGGTGGGCAGAGATTCTCAGCTACAGTCACCAGCTCTCTCTCCCTTTCCTCTCCCTGATTTTCCAAAATTTGTCCTCAACTTTTATAGTGTTCAAAGGAGGTTAAACGTGGTTTCTTGGCACGTAGCCAGTTCAGATGTTGGAGGAGATATGATAACCATAAAAAATGGCAGGATCTTTTGGCTGGAAAAGTGATGTAGGAAGTCCTGGTAGGAACTTCTGGCAGAGAACTGTCAGAGAATGTTTGATAGGAAGTTTTTGACAGGCAGAAACAATTTTTGGCATTTCTATATTACCTATGTTACAGGTGGTTGCCCTGGTAAGGGACGTAACAGGGAATGCATAATGGTTGCCATGGCAACCAACCCTAATGATGGGAATGAATGATGGTTGCCATTGTAACTGTCCATAGGAAATGGAATGCATAATGGTTGCCATGGTAACTGACCTTTGCATTGGGATAATATGATAGTTGCCATGTGTTGTGGTTCACAATCAGAATGCATAATGGTTGCCGTATTAACCGACCCTAGCAATGTAAAGGCTCAATGGTTGCCATGGTAACCCACATAACTATTTGAATGCATAATGGTTGCCATGGTAACTGGTGTATCAAGGAGAATGCATAATGGTTACCATGGTAACCGAGGTATCAGTGCGACTGCAAAATGTTTACCGTGGTAACCAAGGTATCAGTGGGACTGCATAATGGTTGCCATGGTAACTGACCATAACAATAAAAATACGTAAGAGTTTCCATGGTAAGCGACAAAACAGTGGGAAATGCACAATGGTTGCCATGGTAACCGCTTTTAAGAATGAGAATGCATAATGGTTGCCATGGAAACTGATGTCACAGTGGGAATGGATAATGGTTGCCATGTTAATGGACGTCACAATGAAAATGCACAATGGTTGCCATGGCTACTGATGTCACAATGAGAATGCATAATAACAATAACTTCTTAACCACTTGTAACAATGGGAATGCATAATGGTTGCCATGGTGTGAGGGGGGTACTTTTGATTCAGTTGATCAGTGGAGCATAGAGGGGTGAGAAAGTGATTATATTAAGATGTGAAACCAACCAGAATATTGTACAATGTGACTTTATTGCACAAGTTGATTGTAGGGCCCACTGTGCCTTTAGCAAAGTTAACAGGATGTCCCCCATTATCAGAGCTGAGTTCCTCCTTGTCTTGGCTCCACTCTGCAAGAGAGATACAAATCCCCTTGAAACACAATGGTACGGGTCATCCATAGGGCTGAGGAAGGTGATGGAGAGGAAGATGATGTGGGCAGGGGTCGTTGGCCCCTTGCCCTACAGTGGGGCACACCCAGACTGTTGCCATGAGGTGATGAACGGGTGCTGTTTGGCTGCCACTCAAGCACCGCCTTCTGCTGTGTCCTGGCCCTACGTAGTGTAATGTAGAGCTGATGGAATGGGGTGTCAGCACTGCTGGGTGGAGCGATGCTCATCCTTCCATCCACGCTGTGCTGCTCCGCGGGGACACCCGCCCAGCACGGGCACCGACCAGCCCTGCAGAGCCTGGTAGGCCTGGCCTGTCTGTGCAGGTGAGCACAGTTCATTGATAGGAAGCAACAGGGAAAGCAAATGTTTTATAACTTTTTTTTTGTGTGTGTCCCTTTAATTCCCTTTTTACTAGCTAATCCTGTAATAAAAGCTGTTCATAGTATTATATGCATGGCAACTGATAATGTAGTGATTTTGTATTTTTCAACTTTTGATTCTTTTTACCAGTAATGTTTTTAAATTTTATTCTCACTTCAATAAAAGATTTTTTTTAATATTTGAATGACTGTTGTACTTGTCTTTATTCAAGGCACGGGTTCAAACGAACAGAAGGGACTGGCAAGAGGATTCAGGGGCTTCTGGGTGGGCTGGAAGAGACCAGGATGGGGTTTGTGGGGTCCTGGGTGCTCTCTGGGAGGTTTTGGGGGTCTTGATCCCCCCAGGTCTCCCAAGAGATGCCACAGGACACCATCCACTCCCACATATCCCAGCTCTCTCCCATGTGGTCCCCCAGCCCTTTTCCCTGTACCCCAGTGTACTCTGAGTCCCTCCCAGTGCCATTCCAGTCCCTCCCAATGCCATCCAAATCCCTACCAATGTCCTCCAAGCCCTCTCCCCTCTGTTCTAGTGCTTCCCAGCTCATCCCAGTGTCTCCCCTATCTCTCCCAGTGCCCCCAGCGTGTCCATCTTGCTGGTACCGTCGAGCTCCCAGCCTGGCCCCAGCCCCTGCTCAGCTCCGTGATGGATTTCTACCCTGCCCGGTGCAGGTGAGGTGGTTCCAGGATGGGCAGGAGCTGCTGGAGCACGTGGTGGCCACCGACGTGGTCCCCAACGGGGACTGGACCTACCAGATGCTGGTGATGCTGGAAATCCCCCCCCGGCACGGGGTCACCTACACCTGCCAGGTGAAGCACGTCAGCCTGGAGCACCCCCTCAGCCAGCACTGGGGTACGGCCCGGCCCCCCAACACCGGGGGACACTGGCAGGGGGGTCGGGGGTCTGGGGGAGCACTGGGGACACTGGGAGGCACTTTGGGGGGCAATGGAGAGGCTGAGGAGGAGGTTGGGGGGTCCTGGGAGGGCTGAGAGGGGCTGTGGGGAGTCCTGGGGGCGACTGGGAGGGAATTTGGGGGAGCCTGGGTGGGATGGGAGAGAGGTTGGGGGGGGCTTGGGGAGACTGGGAAGGGGTTGGGGAAGTGCTGGGAGGGCTGGGAAGGGACTGGGAGGGGTTCAGGGGGGTCCTGGGGGTGATGGGAGGGGGGTTGGAGGGTCCTAAAGGGGATGGGAGGGGATTTGTGGGATCCTGGAGGGGCTGGGAAGGGACAGGCAGGAGGTTTCAGGGGGTCCTGGGTGGGCTGAGGGAGACCAGGACAAGGTTTTTGGGGGGGTCCCAGGTGGTCTCTGGGAGGTTTTGGGGGTCCTGACCCCCCCGGCTTCCCCCAGAGATGCCACAGGACACCGTCCGCAGCAAGATCTTGGTGGGGGTCGGGGGCTTCATGTTGGGTTTCGTCTTCCTGGTGCTGGGGCTCAGCTTCTACCTGCGGGAGAAGGTAAAGGGGGGTCCCTAGGGGTCGTCTCCCTTCCCCCGCCCCAGAGCGTGTGTGCCCCCCTGACCCTCAGCCCGCTGTCACCCCCTTTTCTCTTCCCACAGAGCTCCTGACCCAGTGGTGGCCGCAGCCCCTCCCCGTGGCCTCGGGCCCAGCCGGGACCCCCCAATCCATCCCCGCCTGGAGTTTGGGGGGGTCGTGTGTCCCCCCCAGCCCTGCTTTTGCTCTCACACCAACCACCTGCTCCCAGTGCTCCCAGTAAAGCTTCCCAGTTCTCTGCAGTCCTGGTGTTGAAGGGCAGGTGCCCTCCCAAAGGCCCCTCAGAATCAGCTTATGCAAATTGTACAATGGTTGGCACCCATTGTCTTTCTGCTTCAAGGAGTGTGTATTTTTCTGCCATGTCTGGTTCAATGTTTGTGCAGCTTAAGGGCTCAAACTGTGTCTGCTTTGTTTAAAGAAAAAGAGGGAAGTGTAGGGATTTTTAGTGCTAACATAGAGGATATGCTGCAGCTGTGAGAACATAGCCTGATGTTGCAATTCTGAAAACATAACCTGTTGTTCTGATGGCCTTCTGATGGTACCAGGATGTGAAAGATCTACCAAGAGAAACAGTAGCAAAACTAGATATAGAAAACAGGGTCCCAGTACCGGCTATCAGAGTGGGAAAGGACATAAAGAATGTTAAAGAAATAGAGCTGATAGAAGAGTATTGTTAGAAAACTGGATAAAAGACTGCTGCTTGAATCCAATAAACGGCACTCTCTGATCATATTGGTGTGCTGAGTCGTCTGTGCTCGCATGAAATCCCCCAGGCAGGTGCCCTCCCAAAGGCCCCCAAACAT